GCAGCTTTCCACCCAGCAAGGCTGGTGATGAAGCACTGCTGAGGGATTTACCGTTGCAAAAGGTGCTGGCCTGGATAGTGGAGCAGATGGAACGGCACAGGCTCAGGTCGGGGCACATGGGGACTGGGTGGGGTGGCGGGGAGGGAGAAGAAGAGGGGTGTTGCTGTCCAGCAGTTTTGAACTTGAATTTGGGGATCAGATGTGGACTCCCCTGTTCCCTGTGCCCCTCCCCAGCTTAGCTAGCCTGTCAGACATCAGCATTCCCTCTGAACCCCTAGCACCTTCCCAGCAGCGGGAAGCCCTGTTGCGAGAAACATGTGCTATTCTATAGCCAAGGCTGGTCTCACAGCAGCCACTGGAATCCTCCTTGTCATGGAGCAAATCCTCCACTCTATTGTGTGAGAGCCAAGGAACTAAATGCATCGGGGAGACCCATGTAGTGAGGGTGAGATGGGACGCCCAATCCAGACTACTGGGAAACTGGGAAGGATATCAAAGAAGCAAGTCTAGGAGCTATGAAGGTGACAGAGGGTGACCAGCCCTGTGGGGAAGAGCACAGGAAGCTATCCCTAGGAAGGCGAGGGACCATGTCTGTGTTTTTGTCACTTGCTGTACTCACCACTGCAGGGTGATTTGGAGGTAGGCAAGGTGTGGCGGACCTGGGGCCAGGATAAACCTGCCGGGCTGATGTTGAGTTGATAATGACCCTTCCCTCCCCCTCCCCTCCTCTCCCCAGGTCTCAGTGACGCAGACCCAGGCAGCTCATGCCTGAACTCTGCCCTTTGCTTATTTAGCTCCTGCTTCAGCCTCACGCCAGAGTACCCGCCCAGAAAAGCCAAACCAATAAAGCTTAAGATGAAAAAGGTCTCTGTGTCCATGGGGGAAACTTCTTCACGAGTTCAAGGTGCCCTAATGGGGCCCAGAGGTTTGTGTGGTTGTGTACACGCGTGCTTCCTAGTGAACACGGGGGTGGTTCTGGCCCATATATATATATATCCATTACTGCACCTGCTCATTCACAGACACCTATTGGAAATGTTTTTCAGAGTGTGAAATTCTTTGTTAAGGTTTATCTATTTATTCAAAGACAGAGTTAAAGAGAGAGAGAATCAATCTTCCATTTGCTGATTCATTCCCCAAATGGCCACAAGGGCCTGGGCTTGGTCAGGCTGAGGCCAAGAGCTTGAAACTCACATGGTGGCAGGGGCCCAAGCACTTGGCCCACTCACTTTCTGCTGTCTTCTCAGGCACATTAGCGCAGAGCTAGGTCAGAAGTGGAGCAGTGGGACTGGCGTTGAACCCACTGTGCTGGAGATTAGACCAGGCACAGATTGTGCTACATGCTGCCTATGCACACAGCAGTGGGGACAGACACAATCCTTGACTGGAGGAACCTCATACCTGGGACAGAGACAGGATTGACTTTAAACACAATCGTGAGAAAAAAATAATAATAATAAACAGCCTATAAATGCTCACAGGGCACATTCTGTGGACGAAGACCGAGGTGTTGTAGAAGAGGATGGAGAAGCTTTCTGGGACTCTGGGTCAGGGCCACCTCTCTGAGAAAACAACATGAAGCTAAGTGTGAGGAAGGATAAAACACCCAGACACACAAGGGAAAGCTGCATAAACATCAGCCGGGGGGCCATGGGAAGGGGTGGGACTAGTGATGACACCTGTGTCCCATTTTGGAGTCCCCAAGTTTCATTCCCACCTCTGGCTCCCAGCTCCAGCTTCCTGCCATTGCACACCCTGGGAGGCAGCGGTTCAAGCGCCTGGATTCCTGACATTCCCATGAGGGACCTGCATTGCGTTCCAGGATCCTGGCTCAGTCCTCGCCTTGCTCCAGCCGTATCAGGCATTTAGGCAACAATGCAGCAGATGGGAACTCTGTTTGTCCCTGCCTCTCAAAAAAACACACACAAATAACTGGACAAATGCTGAAAGGAATAGGCAGAGGGTAGAACAGCACAAGCAGAGGCTGGTAAGACAGGCCAAAGGGCCATGTTCAGGATTCTCCATTTTCTCCTCACTGCAGACTTACGCTTCCCGAGGGGCTTTAAGCAGAGAGGCTTCATGTGCACTCTAAAACAACTGCTCATAAGACAGGGCAGATTCTATGGAAATTATCTCATTTCTTCTCGATCTAAGAGGGGATAAAAGTGCTGGAGAGGCTGCCAAGGGGTTGCAGGAGAGATGAGGTTCGGGGACTGGAAGTGCAGGGAAGGTGGACCACTTCTGCAAAGTGAAAGCCATTTGCCTGAGCTCCTTTCCCTGGGACCTCCACTCTGACATAGGGTTTTCTCTGCTGCCCCACCTTCCCTTTCGGCTTGCTGGGCCTGGAACACCCTCCTGTCTTCTCATCCAGTCTCATTTCAGCAGACTCTAAGGCCAAAACAGCTGGATGGAAATGATTGAATAACTCTCCATCTTGCTTGGTTACTTTTTAAAAAATATATTTATTTATTTTTATTGCAAAGTCAGATATACAGAGAGACGAGGAGAGACAGAGAGGAAGATCTTTCATCCAATGATTCACTCCCCAAGTGGTCACAATGCCAGTGCTGAGCCAATCCGAAGCCAGGAGCCAGGAGCTTCTTTCAGGTCTCCCACATGGGTGCAGGGTCCCATGGCTTTGGGCCGTCCTCAGCTGCTTTCCCAGGCCACAAGCAGGAAGTTGGATGGGAAGTGGGGCTGATGGGATTAGAACTGGTGCCTATATTGGATCCTGGTACATGCAAGGTGAGGACTTTAGCTGCTAGGCTACTGCGCCAGGCCCTTCATATATATATTTTTAAGATGTATTTATTTTTACTGGAAAAACAAATTTACAGAGAGAAGAGATTTTCCAGTTGCTGGTTTACTCCCCAAATGGCCCCAATGGATGGAGCTGAGTTGATTCGAAGCCAGGAATCTCTTCTGGGTCCCCCACATGGGTGAACTTGGGCCATCCTCCACGGCTCTCTCAAGCCACCAATGGGGAACGCGATCAAACATGGAGGGCGGGAACACAAACTATGTCTATCTTAAATAACAACAACAAAACAGAAACAGAAAATCCCACAAACCAATGGTTGGGAGGATTAGTTTAGAATTGGGAGCGACAAACGGGACTGGGGGTGGCGTGGGGAAGAGCCAGCTCAAGTCCAAAGTGGGTCACAGGGTTAAGAGGGTCGGACCACAAAGGCTGATCAAACTCCACCCCATCCCAGCACTGAGTCCTTGCCCCAGGGCTGCTGCTGGACTCCAGCTGACTTTAAAAGTTGCTTCCAGCTCTGACAGCTTTTTTTTAATGTTCACATAGCTGACTAGGCTGCACACCCAAGAGCACCACAGATTAGGGTAGGGAGGGTGGAGGCATGGGAAGGTGGGGAGCCAAATGCTTTCAATTTTCCCTTATTTTTCCCACTTGAGAAGAGGGAGGGGAACCACTCCCAGCTGTCCACTTGATGGCTGAGAGTCCTGGTGTGTTTTCATCTATCTAATTTTTTTTAAAGACTTCTTTGAAGAAGGGCAGAGTCATACATACGGAGATACCTTCCCTTGGATAGTTCACTCCCCCAATATGCACAAAGGCCAGGGCTGGTCCAGATGAGAGCCAGGAGCCAGGAACTCCATCCGTCTCCCACAGGGGTGACTGGCTCAAGTCCTTGAGCATCTTCAGCTGCTTTCCCAGGAGCATTAGCATGGAGCTGGATGTGAAGTGGAACATCCTGGTGGATCTGTGTAGCAGGCAGGGATTTAATCTAGTCTTCCACGTTGCCACACCCCAGACTAGGAATGCCTAGAATACCAATCTTAACCAAATGTTTAGTCTTCACAGCCTCACAAGCAGGTCTTTATCCCACTTCCTGGCTGTGGATAGTAAAACGCAAGAACTGAGGCATTTGCCTGACTCTCCTGGACCATGCGGAGTGGAATTGAGCTTTGGGGCCAACTTATGCCAGAGTTCAAGCTATGTATGTATTTTTTTATATTTATTTTTAAAAAGATTTATTTATTTTGATTGCAAAGTCAGATATACAAAGAGGAGAGACAGAGAGGAAGATTTTTCTGTCCAATGATTCATTCACTCCCCAAGTGAGCGCAACGGCCGGTGCTGCACCAATCCGAAGCCAGGAGTCAGAGCCTGTTTCGGGTCTCCCAAGTGCGTGCAGGGTCTCAAGCTTTGGGCCGTCCTTGACTGCTTTCCCAGGCCACAAATAAGGAGCTGGATGGGAAGCAGGGCGCTGGGATTAGAACCGGCGCCCATATGGGATCCCAGCATGTGCAAGGTGAGGACTTTAGCCACTAGGCCACCGTGCCAGGCCCGTGTGTATGAATTTTTATTGGAAAGGCAGATACACAGAGAGGAGATACAGAGAGAAAGCTCCTCCGCCCACTAGTAGTCCACTGCCCAAAGGGCCACAATGGTAGAAACTGAGCATATCTGAAATCAGGATCCAGAGCTTTCTCCAGGTTTCCCATGTGGGTGCAGGGTCCCAAGGCTTTGGGCCATCCTCTGCTGCTTTCCCAGACCACAAGCAAGGAGCGGAATGGCAAATGGAGCATCCAGTACTTGAACCGGTGCCCATATGGGATGCTGGCGCGCACAAGGCGAGGATTTAGCCACCAGGCCACCGCGTCGGCCTTCAAGGTCTTAGTCTTAAACTCTCCCAAGTCAGAATCTCTATGTGATTCCAACAGGTCCGTTGGCGTGGAGTCCTCGATAGTCAACGCCACGCGAGCCACGACGCGAGCAAGTGGCCCATGAGCAACTTAGAAGAGGCAGTGGTGGCAAGACCGCCGCTCGCAGGGAGCCAAGTGAACGGGAAGCTGCGGGCCGGACAACGACGACTAGGGCAGGCCCCCCCTCGTCTCGGCACCGGGGAGTCCGCTAGGACCCCGACCCCGCAGCGCTCCCCGCACGGTCCCCGTCGCCCGGCCCGGGAGAGCTCAGAGAGCAGTCACCCTGAGGCGGGGAACCAGAGCCGACACGGCGGCAGGAAGTGGGGCCGCGGGGCTTCCGGCGCTCAGCGATGACGCGCGTCCCGGCTTCCGCATTGGGGAGCCGGCGGTGTAGCCCGGGTTTGGGAGCCCTGGAGTCCCGGCCGTGGGGCGGCCCGCGGGCCCAGGGCGGCGATGCATCGCCGCGGGGTGGGAGCTGGCGCCATCGCCAAGAAGAAGCTGGCGGAGGTGAGAGGGAAGAAGACCTTCCAGAGACCGAGTTTTCGCGGAGCTAACTTTAAATCTCCTCCCGCCCCTACAAGGCTGCTCGGGCGCCGCGGCTTTTCTCCAGTCCCCGGCGTTCTTGGGGTGTCATCCTGTCCCCCAGGCCAGCCAGCTCTTTGTATCCTTCCCCAGACTGGCTCGCAGCAGAGTCCCTCTATATGGCTGTCCCTCACCTGACCCCGTCCTTCCCAGGAGACCATGTCGAGGAGACCCTCCCCTTTCCCTGCTTGGTGGGTGGGGGCGCTTAGGGCAGCCCCAGCGCCCACCCTCTCCGCTGACGAGCTGCTCTCTGTGTGACAGGCCAAGTATAAGGAGCGAGGGACCGTCCTGGCCGAGGACCAGCTGGCCCAGGTAAGTGGGCGGGAGGCCAGACCCAGGAGTGGAGCTGCCAGGGTGGCTGCAGGTCAGGATTTCTAATGTGGCTTGCTAGTAACTGTCACACTGACCAGTTTATTTATTAATGTATTTATTAATTTACCTATCTATGTATTTATTTACTTTTAGCAGATTCACTTATTTGAAAGGCAGAGTTACAGAGAGAAAAGGTCCAGGACTTCTGCTCACTGGTTCACTCCCCAAATGACTGCAAGAGTCAGGAGTTTCTTACGGGTCCCGCTCATGGGTGACCGAGGCACAAGCACTTTGACAATCTTCCACTGCATTTTTCAGGTCATTAGCTCCCATTGGGGAGCTGGATCAGAATTGGAGCAGTGAGAACTCAAACTGGTGCCCACCTAGGGGGGCCACAACACTTGGTGTTGCAGCACAGGCTCCTAAAGCTTGCATTAGTTATTAGGTGGGAATGACACCCACCAACTTCCATCTTTGTTACATGTATTTGTCTTGTTAAATCTTCATTACAGTTCTATTAAGTAGTGAACTTTTGGGACTCCAAGTTTGCAATTGAGACATTAAGTCAATTGTAAGATTATATAGGGACCAAGTGGTGGAGCTGCTTGACTTAGGTCTTTAGGGGGCCTTTATAACGTTGAAAGTTTGTTAATTTAACTTGAAAGGCAGAGATAGAGAGCTTCCATCTGTGTGTTCAACAGCCAGGATGAGGGCTGGCTACAGCCAGGAGCCAGCAGCTCAGTCTGTGCTCCCCTTTCCCCCCCTCCCTCTGCCCCCATTGGCTGGCACCCAAGTACTTGAGCCAACATCTAACTCCTAGGGTATGCATACATATCACAGTCTCTCCTGGAAGCAGAGCTGGGACTTGAACCAGGCACTCTGGGATCTTGGTATCATAACTGCTTTGTCAAGTACCTGCCCTCAGGTTTCTAAGTGCTTAGAGTAAAATGACAATGTGGGAGCGGGCATTGGGAGTGGACAGGTTACGCTGCTGCCTGCAGTCTGGCGTTCCGAATGAGTCCCGGCTGCCCCACTTCCAGCCTAACTCCTGGCTAACTCACCAAAGTGCTTGGGCTTTTACATCTGCGTGAGAAGCTCCTGGCTTCAGGCTCTGGCTGTTGGGACATTTTAGGCAGCATGGCAGCAGACAGAAGCGCGCTCTCTCTCTCTGTAACTGCCTTTGAAATGAATGCATTTTTTAAAAAAGATTTATTTTATTAGAAAGGCAAATTTACAGAGAAGAGATAGATTTCTGTCTGCTGGTTCACTCCCATCCATGGCCACAACAGCCAGAGCTAAGCTGATTGAAAGCCAGAAGCCAGGAGCTTCTTCTGGGTCTCCCATGTGGATGCAGGACTGTCCTCCGCTGCATTCCCAGGCCACAAGCAGGGAGCTGGATGGGAAGTAGAGCAGCTCGGACATGAACCGGCGCCCATATGGGATCCAGGCGCTTGAAGGTGGAGGATTAGCCAGTTGAGCCGTCACATTGGCTCAAATATCTAAAGGTTACCATGGTCTGCCCGAGCATCATGATGACCCTTCCCATCCTGGCAGCTGTGGGAGTGATGGGAGTACAGTTCTTGCCCAGGTTCTTTGCTCCTGCTTGCCTTTCTCTGCAGGCTCTGAGGTCACTTACTGATTGTGATGAGTGAAGAAGAGGAGGCAGGCAGGCAGGACACTGGGCCCTTGGGCTGAGAGGAACACCAGACACAAGTGGTACTCTCCAAAAACCCCCACGCAGAGGGAGGATGGCCTGCAGAAGTCAGCACAGGATGGTGATTCACAGAATCTGAAGGTGTCTAATAATTGTGCAGTGGTTACTCTAAGTGGGGTAAAGGATTAGTTTTGTTCCTTAGGGAAAGAGAAGATAATGGCAATGACATGTTAGAAACCAACCCCTCCCCACCCCCACCCCCCGCCCAGAGTTTTTGAGTTCAGCTGTGGAATGCATTCTGGGAGGCCCACAGCCTTGCTTGAGGTTTGCTGTAGCTGGAGTGAATCTCGGAGGAGGCCCATGACTCAGGGGTTAAGCAGCGCCCCCAGGCCTCTCACACAGGCCTGCCTTTTCCCCTGTGTGGCTGAAGGTTTCCACCATGTGAACCCTTCAGTGCCTCACTTCTAAGGGGGAATAGATTCTTAGGTGCCCCTAGCGCTCAGTCAGTGGTTCAGCACCTTGACAGATGTTTGTGCGTTTTATTAGATGCATTCCGATTTTAGGATGGGAATTCATGAAAAACAGGGTATGTTTTATAGCTGATGAGAACTTTCCAACAAAAATAATAAATAAATCTTTTTAAATATTTATTTTTATTAGAAAGTCATATGTATATAGAGAAGAACATGTTCTGTCCAATGATTCACTCCTCGAGTGACCCCAATGGCTGGAGTTGTGCCAATCCGAAGCCAGGAGCCATGGGCCTCTTCTGGGTCTCCCATGTGTGCAGGGTCCCAACGTCGTGGGCCATCCTCAACTGCTTTCCTAGGCCACAAGCAAGGAGCTGGATGGCAAGAGTTGCTGCTGGAATTAGAACTGGTGCCCAGTGCATAAATGCTGAGGACTTTAGCCACTACGCTACCACGCTGGGCCCAAATAGATCTTTATTTCTTTCTTTGAACGAACTGTGCAGAGGAGGTGGAGGTAAAAAGGAGGGGGTGGTACACAGAGTGGTTATTTCAGCTTTTGTCCCCCGCTGGGCCAGTTGACCCAGCTTTGCATCTGATGCCCACCAGGCCATGATGTTCCTGACCTCCCCACTGTGCATCTAAACAGATGTCGAAGCAGCTGGATATGTTCAAGACCAACCTGGAGGAATTTGCCAGCAAGCACAAGCAGGAAATCCGGAAGAATCCCGAGTTCCGAGTGCAGTTCCAGGACATGTGTGCGACCATCGGGGTGGACCCCCTGGCCTGTAAGCCATCGTCTGTAGTGGTGCCGCGTTCCCTGGGTGTGGAAGGGACAGAAGCTCGCCTAGTCGCGTTGCTCGTGTTGGGTCTCCCCGCGGAGGGACCGACGTGGAAGTCCAGGGCACATTGTCTTCAGGGAGTGCCTGGCAGGGAGAGCGGCTGATGGGCAGCGCTCACTCTGAGGGCCCCATGGGGAGGCTGGAGCAGAGGCTGGCTGGCAGAGTCCCGTTGTCTCCCTGAGGTGTTCACAGGGGAATTGTCAACTGACACTTCCCCCTTTTATTAGAAATAATCAAGCTTTAGTGATAGTGACATGGGCTGCAGCCAGTTCATCAGGGAGGAAGCAGGGACCTCATTGTGTCACTCTGTCACAGGGCAAAAGCTATTGACATTTAAAATGCATGAGTATCTAGGTGCCTCCCTTACCGTAAGCTGTAAATGCTACCCCATAACATGTGTTTTTTTCACTCAGTATTGTCTCACTGGGTTTTTAAAGAAGCTATAAAAAAAAAAAAAAAAAAGAGAGAGACCAACAGTGTGAGAGAGATTGTCCATCTGCTGTGTCACTCCCCAGGTGGCTGGAATGGCCAGGGCTGGACCAGGCCGAAGCCAGGAGCCGGGAACTTGGAGCTCCATCGTGGTCTCTCATGTGGGTGGCAGGATTCACGTACCTGGGCCATTCTCCACTGCCTTCCCAGGCAGAAGCAGAGCAACCAGGGCTGGTGCCTGGACTGGCACTGTGACAGGATATGCAGGCACCACTTAACCTGCTGCCACACAGTGCCAGCCACTTTAATGGATTTCTGAATGCTAAGTCTGCATTGTGTTTTTCTTAGCCTTGGCTAGACCATTCTTCTCTCCCGTTATATTTTACTGTGTGTTTTTGGAAAATTAAAGAGCGTTTTTTTTGGGGTTTTTTTGGTTTTTTTTTTTTTAGTAGCCTGAAGTAGAAGTTAGCAGAACAGAAACGACGTTTAGCTTGCCAGCTCTCAGAATTGTCTGAGCCCATTCTACAGCAAGTGATCAAGAGTCTGCAAGAGTTCCCTTTTCTTACAGGATCCTGTGAGCCAGGGGAGTGGGAGACGAGGCTGAGCAGGGAGGTTTGGCCTAGGACACCAGGCCTAAGCCAGTCCTGAGAGAAGAATGTGAAGGGATGAATAACAGAGTTTTGTTTTTTCTTACAGCTGGAAAAGGGTTTTGGTCAGAAATGCTGGGTGTTGGGGACTTCTATTATGAGCTGGGTGTCCAGATAATTGAAGTGTGCCTGGCCCTGAAGCATCGAAATGGAGGTGAGTGTAGCTGGGACCTGTGACATCTCTATACAAGACAAGCTCAGAAGATACTCTGTTCCGTTCTGCCCTGAGCCGGGCCTGTGGTGCTTCTCTGTGGCCGAGGAAGGGTGAAACAGGCGAGGGATGATTGTTGCTTTGGCCCGGAAAGCGCAGGGAGGTGGGATGTGGGCTGCAGACTCTTGTGATGATATATGGGCTGGCGTTGGGCCTGGCCTGCCTGTCCTAGGGCTGGTGCTGCTGGCTGAGCTTCTCTCTGCTCCCCACATGGTGACCTTAGGAGTGGCCATCTGGTGATGTCACCTCTCTCAATAAGCACCTTGAGTGCTCTGTGTTGAAAGCAAGCAGGCTTCGAACAAGTCACACATTACTGGCTGTAGGTAGACAGTCGTTTTACACATTTCTTGATTGTTCTGAGAGGAAGCGCAACAGAAAAAAAAAATAACAGACCAAGATCCTCCGTCTGTGCTGCTTCATTCCTCACATGGCCACGTGGGCCAGGCTGAAATCAGGAGTGCAGAGTGCCAGCTGTGTCCCCCTGTGGGTGCAGGGGCCCAAGCACTTGGGTTGACCTCTGCTGCTTTCCCAGGCACATTAGCAGAAAGGGGGTTTGGAGGTGGAGCAGTTGGAACTTGAACCAGCACCCATGTGGGATGTCAATGTTCCCAGCAGTGTCCTAACTTGGCTTGTGCCACAGTGCCAGCCCCTGCTGCTGCTACTGAGGGTGCTCACAAGGCCTCAGCACCTATAATAATTGTTGCTTTTGTTCTTAAAGATTTACTTTTTCTTATTAGAAAGGCAGATTAACAGAGGGAAGGAGAGACAGAGAGAAAGATTTTCAGACTGCTGGTTCACTCCCTAAGTGGCTGCAACAGCCAGAGCTGAGCTGATCTGGAGCCAAGAGCCAAGGAACTTCCTCTGGGTATCCGACACTAGTGCAGGGTCCCAAGACCTTGGGCCGTCCTCGACTGCTTTCCCAGGCCACAGACAGGGAGCTGGATGGGAAGTGGGGCCACCAGGGTTAGAACTGATGCCCATATGGGATCTCGCTGGTTACAAGGCATGGATTTTAGCCACTAGACCATTGCACCGGGCCCACGTTAATTGTGAGAGGTGAAAGAAAGAAATTTAGGACCCAGATGCTGTCTGGTGTTTGTAGGCTACTGGGAAATGATTGTCCATTTATTTGAAGTGGTTGCAGTCCTGAAAATGATCTCTGCTTCCTGTCTCCCCCTGCACCCCACCCTCAGGTCTGATCACTCTGGAAGAGCTCCATCAGCAGGTGTTGAAAGGAAGAGGCAAGTTCGCGCAGGATGTTAGCCAGTAGGTGATGTCTTCTAACCCCACAGATTTTAGAAAGAAGTCTTTACTCGGAAATCTTTTCTCCCTACTCCTCTTATGTGGGGGCTAGCTTAGAAATCATTCTGCATGATCAGCCAAAATATACTTTTATTTTAGAAAAATGAAAGTGCAGATACGAACAAGCAAAACCACCCATTATTTTTCAACCAAAAGATGTGTTTTGTCAGAGAGAAAGATCTTCCATCCACTGGTTCACTACCCAAATGGCCACAGTGGCAGAGCTGAGCCAATCAAACCAGGCTCCAGGACCTTCTTCTAGTCTCCCACATGGTTGCAGGATCCCAAGGCTTTGGGCCATCCTCTACTGCTTTTCCAGGCAATAAGCAGGGAGGTGGAAGTGAAGTGGGACAACCAGGATACAGACCGGCACCTATATGGAATACTAGAGCTTGGAGGTAGAGGATTAGCCAGTTGAGTCAATGTGCTGCCCCTGTTACTCTCTTTATAATAATTGGACTATATGAGAAGGAGACTAGACATCAGGAAGGCTGGGGAAGAGGTGGGGAGATGATGGGGTCTGAACTGACACGGTGCACCAAGAGGAGGAAGAGGCAGTTTAGCTGCAGTTCCCTAGGAGCCCGCCTAGTGTGGTCCTAAAGGCCTGAAGCAGGGAGCATGAGTGATGCTGAAGGTTACCAGCCCTGCTTGCTGCAGGTGAATTCTCAGAAGGAGTTAGTGCATGTGATGCTCCAGGGGCTGAACCTTGCCACCTGCTGATGTCAAGTTTCTCTTGATGGTTAGATAATACACATGTGGTCAAACTGCATAGAGAAATGGAGTTACAGTTTATTTCACTGCAGAAACACATGCTGAAATCGACGCATGGTGTTTTCATGATAGGCAGTTTCCTTGAGCTTTTAGACACCCCACTCACATTTGGGGCATAGACAGAGGTGGTCACCTCTGTGTAGGGGCTGGATGCACAATCTACATGTCATTTTGTGGTTTTTCTAGGTGTCAGAGAAGTTAGCAACTTTGGCTGTTCTAGGCTTTTTTTTTTTAAGATTTATTTTTTATTTTTATTGCAAAGTCAGATACAGACAGAGAGGAAGATCTTCTGTTTGTTGATTCACTCCCTAAGTGACCGCAACGGCTGGAGCTGAGCTGATCCAAAGCCAGGAGCCAGAAGCTTCTTCCATGTCTCCCACATGGGTGCAGGGTCCCATAGCTTTGAGCTGTCCTCTACTGCTTTCCCAGGCCACAGTCAGGGAGCTGGATGGGAAGTGGGGCTGCCAGGATTAGAACCGGCATGTGCCAAGGTGAGGACTTTAGCTTCTAGGCTGCAGCGCTGGGCCCGGGGATGTATTTTTGACTTCTAGGTTGGGAACAAGTAGTTCCTTTTGTATTTCTCTGGAATGTCCAAGTCCCACCCTCTGCCCTTTAACCTTGTCTCTTTTTTGATGGAGTTGTGCTGTGCAGGCTTTGAATCTTCTTAGGATAGTCTGCCCGTGACAGAGCTGAAACTTCCTTGTTAGGCCTGATCTGCACAGGGGCTTTAAGTTGCTCTTCCTCACCCCAGAGACGACCTCATCAGGGCCATCAAGAAGCTCAAGGCCCTCGGCACTGGCTTTGGCATCATCCCTGTTGGTGGCACTTACCTCATTCAGTCTGTCCCAGCTGAACTCAATATGGATCACACCGTGGTGCTACAGCTGGCAGAGGTACTGCGTGGCTCCTGAGAGCGAGTATGTGTGCCGGAGGGACTGTGAGGGTGTGAGGGTGGAGCCAATCGGACTTTCTCGGATCTTGGTGACACTGTCTTCCAAACAAACCCAGGAGCCAGCTTCATCTTTCCCAGGTGCAGTCGTAAGGAACTGGGTGGGGAGTGGAATAGCAGCAGCCAGATGGGACGCTGGTGTTGTAGCAGTGTTTTAGGCACGGTGCTCGCACCATAGGCTGAATATTTATATATTTTAGGTTACTAACCATTTTGTCATTATAACCATTCCTTTCTGTCTCCATTCTGACTCCTTCCATGCTATATCCAAGTCCTCTGTGTGGAGTCTGACTTGGTGTGTTAACACTGAGGCCCTCACTTCTACAATCAGACCCAGCAGCCCCCGCAAGCCTCCAGTCACCCCTTTGTTCCCATCACTAGGGCTTTCCTTTTCTGTACTCTCAGCCTTGGCCTGAGTTGTTTTGTTTTGGGACAGATGATGGACAGGAAAGTGCACTCTTACCTGACCCAGACCCTCTCCTTTCTTCCTTCAGAAAAACGGTTATGTGACTGTGAGTGAGATCAAAGCCAGTCTTAAATGGGAGACGGAGCGAGCATGCCAAGTGCTGGTACGTGAGTTAAAAAGCCCCAGGAAAGCTGGCCTGGCTGGGAGGGGGTTGGTCCAGAGAGGCAGGCAATGCAGCCTTGTTTGCTGGCCTCTGCCTCAAAGGCTCTGCCATGCCTGAACCCAGCACTCCCCTGAAAACAGGCAGGTTTGTAATCCAGGCCTGCACATATCAGCTGGTGGCCCTTCCGCTGGGGAACCACCAGCTGTCACCCACACCTGGGTGTGTGGAGCTCCTGATCAGGATGCTGTTGGCTCAGAGTGAAGGGAACTAATGACTGTGTGACAGTTCTGTCCCTGTGATGATGTGCTAGGCATGGTGTCATGTAGTGTCATATACAAACGTCATGGCATTCGCTGTCAGCCCTGGCTTCAGTGCCTCCTGAGCCAGTCAGTTCAGCTGCTGACATCTTCTCATTGCAAAGTGGTATTCGGCAGAATCCAGCTTTCTCCCGAGGGTTTGGGGCTCTGAGCACTGGGCACCTTGGTCCAAATGTGGCACCGCACTTCTCTTCCCCTGGCAGTTAGCCCAGAGACGGCACTTTGCCCATGTCCAGCCAGCAAACTTGTCTTTAGCTCTGTGTTCTCTCCGCTCCATCTCACTACAGTGGGTGTCATGCTCACTGTGCGGCAGTTTCACACCTTGCACAGCAAAGCCAGATCAATCATTTCAGTCTGTGCGGATTGCACACATTGACTATACTGCTTGAAAACCTCACTGAAGCCACAGTGGGTATGTGGATTGCCTGGCCACCCTACTTTTTGATTCTCAATTCTCTCCTTCAGGAACACCTGCTGAAGGAGGGGCTAGCCTGGTTGGACTTGCAGGCCCCAGGGGAGGCCCACTACTGGCTGCCTGCTCTCTTCACCGACCTCTACTCCCAGGAGATTACAGCTGAGGAGGCCAGAGAGGCCCTCCCCTGAGTGCGGACGGGTGCACAGCGACAGGCAGGGCGAAGAGGGATCTGCCGGGGAGTAAACCTGCGTGGTTTTGTTTATACACTCACACACATATAAAAAAAAAAAAGAAGAAAAAGTTCCATGCTTTTCTTTCTTCCCCCAATATTTTTATTACCTTTTTTTAAAAGTGCCTTCACATTGCATCTTTATTGGAGAAAACCTCATTTATCCAGTAAGGATAACCTGAGTAACACAGAACAGCAAGCACATACGAAATGACTTGCACGGGTCATCTACAAGGTCGCGGAGAGGTGGGCCTTGAACACAATCCATCTCCTGCCTAGAGGGTCTGGTTTCTCTGGATCTTGAGGAATTATAGCCTCTGCTAACTTAGAGCTTCTTGTGACTGGATGGCCTCAAAGCCACAGACCCTCAGACTAGTAACCAGTCCCTCAAGTCTCTCTTGGATTCTGTGGAAGGTCCAGGCTGTTGAAGACCTGACTGAGCTTAAGGGAAATAAGCCCCTGCTAAACTGGAGGAAAATAGTGGAGCCTACGGGGACGCAAACTTACTCATGAAGTTTCTATTTTGGTTCTTAAGATTCTACTTTTGCTTGAGCAGAGCCCACCAGCCAGGTCCCACTGTCTTAGTGGGGCTAAGGGAATTGCAGAACACCTACCTGCACCTTTTCACACCCACCTCACTTAATCTTCGCTAGCCTCAAATGTTAAGGGGGTATCCTTAACCTCATGGATGACAAGCTGGGTCAGAGCTGGAGCCCAACGCCATGCTTTGCCCTGTCTGCTTGGCACAGTGTGGGCTAACAGGACTTGTGCAGACACATCCCCATACAGTGAGCCAAGAGGAAAAACTACCAGCAAGCAGGAGCCCTGGCGTTTTAAGGCCCCAGAGTCTTGATGGTCTAAATGCTCAGTCTAGGCAGGTTGGTATCAGCAAACTCAACAGCCAATGCTTTCTCCACACCGAGACGTCCTTAGCAGGTCGAGTTGGGTGGAGCCCACCCCACCTTGTCTCTGTAGAATGTGTGTATTTCCATCACTTTGGGTTAGGTGATGTCAAGAAGCCAGCCTCCATTACACACAGGATTAGGGGCCCATGTTACTCCCAGTTGCTGGTCCTGTTCCTGTGCCCCATCCCCCCACAGAGCCAAGGTGCATCTTGCAGGGTGGTTCACTGAGTGCTTTCCAGAGAACACCAGTCTTCACCTGAACCCTCCCACATCCTCAGGCGCTTCCTCCTTCTGCCAAAACAAACTTTATTGCACCAAAAAAAGAAAAAAGAACTTCATTTATGTACAGTCAGATATAAAGACATCTCTTGGACTCCTGTGCATTCATTTCCTAAACTCAGGGTTAGGGCGTTAAAGTCAGGCTGCTATGCCAGACGCACTCTGCCCCACAGTAGGGCCAAGGAGAGGATTGTCACTTCAAAGTGGGAACACTTACATGAATGAGACAACACTGGACCCACAGACTGAGGGTATTCTTCTTGGCCCCAGCCTAGCTACAGGGATGGAAGGAAGCTGGAAGCAGGGTCCCTCTCTGAGTCCCTGTGGAGACCCAGCCTTCAGACTCCTGTTCCCCAAGCCCACCACTCCCTGTCCAATTTCATGGCTTCCTGCCCTTCCAAGGACATTTCCTTTATGCTAGGAGAGTCCCCTCACCTACAAGGCTAAGACCTTCAGAGCAGCCTTCTGACAGCAGCTGCATGATGGCTGAGTACTGACTGAGGCCCTGCGTCATATCTGGAGCCCTAACAGTTACGAATCTAGAAGTGTGGGGAGAAACCATCAAACGGGGCAAGGATGGACTCCCCTGGTGCCCAGTATGACAGGGCACCTAAAGCACATTTGTTTTTTGAGCCAACCAGCTAAAGGATCACGGCAGCTAAGTAGAGAAGCAACACAGCCAGGCAGACACCCGCTGCAGCCAGTCACAAAGAGCAGCTGGGGGAAGGGGCGCAGTCGCCAGTCTCGGCCCCAATCCCCTTTTGCTGTCTGGTTACCCTTGTGTGCCTCAAATCCCTGGGGGCTGAAATGAGGATGGGAGACTATGAGCTGGGGGACACAGGACAACTAAACGGAACACAGTAAGGAAGAGCATTGGTCTCTTCCCTGCATCTCACCCCAAGAGAACTGCCCTTGTGGTGACCAGTATTTAGGAAAATCTGCAGGAGACCATTCTGTGTAGTGGCCACAATCCCACACAGGGCAGCTGCCCATGGTGGAGGCTTTTCAAATCCGTGATTGCGGGAACAAAAAGGATCCTCAGCTTCTTGCGGTGCCTTGGTTCAGGCTGAATCACTTTTACCTTCTGTCTTACATCGTGAGAGGATGAGGACGGGGGCGGGGGATAAAGGTGCTCAGGTGCCAGGTAAAGCTTACTCATCAGCAGCCTAGACTCCACCACTGTTCCTGCTCTTTGGTCTGTCTAGAACAGTGACTATAAATTAGGAAAAAAATTATGCTGGCCCGTGCGAAAAAGGAGGGGAGAGGCAGGGAGGAGCAGGGCAGCAGGAAGCCTGGCCTCAGGGCTGAAGATGGAGAGACGACCACCAGACTGCTCTATGTGTCCCACACAGCGCCCCCACCCCACGTTTCCAGAAGTCCCATCAATCACCTGGGCAATCCCCCTCCTGGAATTACAATTTCTGTCTCCGACCTGTCCTGAAGGAGCGGGCCCCGTGGTGAGGTGTGTCGGTTGTTGCGCTGTTTCCAGAGGCCCTCACCCTGGGTGCTCCTGGACAGGCACCTTGGCCCGACGGGACAGACAGCCCCGGACGTTCTGGCGCCAAGGAGGTCAGTCAGGGAATACCCCCCACTCCCGCACCCCGGGATCTGAGCTTGCTTGGCTGCTGCCATTTTGCAGATGACGTCACGTTTGGAGGGAGACACGCAGAGCCTCTCCTTCCCTGGGGTCGGGGGAAGGGACTCTGCCGGACTCTCGGACTCTCGAGTGGGGGAAGGGGAGAGCGGAGTAGGGCCTAGACCCTTAGGCTCCCGTGCAGGTCCGTCTCTGTCCCAGACGAGCTGCTATCAGAGTCCATTTCTGCATTCTCATTATGGAGCCTCTCCAGCACTTTCTGACGAATCAGTCCCAGACGCATCAAGAGGGACTGGTAGTCGAAATGGCCCCGCTTCTCTCCAAAAGGGTCCTGTGGGGAGGAGACCGCATGATGAAAGCTTCGAGCCAGAGGGCAGGAACTCTGGGCCCGAGAAATGCAAGCTCCCCTGGGGGAAGGGGGGGGCAGGCAGATGGGGAGTTTCCCAGCAGCAGATGATGCATCTGTTTAGGAATATTAGGGCATGAAGACTGCCCCATATCAGTCCAGTTTGGGCTGACACAAAAATCTAATTTCTCAAAAGCAAGGCAAAATACAGAAGGGGACGAGGAGTGCTTTCTAGGAGATGTGGATGTCACCTTAGGGATGGGGAACACTTAGATCTTCCAGCTGTTGGTCCACTCCCCAAATGGCTGCTACAGCCAGGACTGAGATGATCCGAAACCAAGAGCCAGGAGCTTCTTCCAGATCTCCCACATGGGTGTAGGGTCCCCAAGGCTATGTTTGGCCCATCTTCTATTGTCTTCCCAGACCACAAGCAGGACGCTGGATAGGAAGTAGAGCAGTCAGGATATAATGTGGCGCCCATATGGGATCCCAGTGTGTGTAACATGAGGATTTAGCCACTAGGTTATCATCCCAGCCCAAGACTTAAGAAATCTTTTAATTCTGTTTTTTTCCATTAGCTTCTTAAAGAAGTGTTTATTGGGGCTGGTGTGGTGGCTCAACTGGCTAATCTTTCACCTGCAAGCACTGGCATCCCAGTATGTGCACTGGTTCATGTCCTGGCTGCGCCATTGCCCATCCAGCTCAGCTTCCTGCTTAGGGCCTTCCAAGGGCAGTGGAGGACGGCCCCAAGACCTGAGACCCTGTACCCATGTGGAAGCCCTGGAGGAGTCTCTAGCTCTGGCCATTGTGGCCACTGTGGAGTGAATCATTGGATGGAAGATTTTTTTTGTCTCTTCTCTCTGCAAAATCTGCCTTTCTAGCAAGAGTGGAAAAAAATTCATCTACTCAAAAAGCAGAGAAATGGAAATCCACTGATTCATTCCCAACTGCCTGAAACCACCAGGACCAGACCAGGCTGAAACCAGGAGCCTGGAACTCCATCCGAATCTCCCACGTGAGTGGTGTGGGCCCAAGCACTTGAGCCTCCACCTGCTGCCTCCTGGGACACACAGGAAGGAGCTGGATCAGAAGCGGGGAGCCAGGACTCAAACTGGCACTCAATATAGGATGCAGGTGTTCCAAACGGGCATAGGCTGCTACACACAACACCCTCCCCAACCTGAAATGATCACAACTGAGCCCGGCACAGTGGCCTAGTGGCTAAAGTCCGAGCCTTGAACGCACCGGCATCCCATATGGGGACCAGTTCTAATCCCAGCTGCCCTGCTTCCCATCCAGCTCCCTGCCTGTGGCCTGGGAAAGCAGTCGAGGACAACCCAAAGCCTCAGGATCCTGTTCCTGCGTGGGAGACCCAGAAGAGGCTCCTGACTTCGGACTGGCTCAGCTCCACCCATTGCGGCCACTTAGGGAGTGATTCAGAGGATGGAAGATCTTCCTCTGTCTCTCCTCTCTGTAAATCTGCCTTTCCAAAGGAAAAACTAACTAACTAAATAAATAAATAAAAAGAACCAGAAGAAGCAGATAGAAGATCACCTTCTCTCCTACTCTCTGTGAATCTGCCTAATAAAAATAAATCTTAAAAAAAAAAGTAAAGGGCCTGGCACAGTAGCCTAGTGACTAAAGTCCTCACCTTGAATGAGCTGGGATCCCATATGGGCATAGGTTCTAATCCTGCCAGCCCCGCTTCCCATCCATATCCCTGCTTGTGGCCTGGGAAAGCAGTGGAGGACGGCCCAAAGCCTTGGGACCCTGCACCCACATGGGAGATCCAGAAGAAGCTCAGGGCTCCTGGCTTAGGAATGGCTTAGTCCCAGCTGTTGTAACTGCTTGAAGAGTAACCACTGGACAGAACATCTTCCTCTCTGTATATCTTCATTTCCAATAAAAGCAATCTTAAATATATATATAAATACATACATATGTATGTGTGAATATATATATATATATATATATATATATATATATGAGACCAACAATGTGATTATTAAGTGTACCATTGTTTTTAGTGAATGTGGAAAAAGCTGAGCTTTATTCTCTATCTGCCCAGGGTAATCTGCAGTCAGCAGCAGGTCTAGGACTCCAGCATTCTGACTGCCAGGGCAGCACCTGGCCCTCTCCTACAGTCCTGCCCAGGGTTCTGGGCATCATCCCAAGGGCACTTAGCCTTCAACTTTGTCTATCTACACCAAAGATTTCTGAACACTATGTACAAAGACTCAACTTCCCTCAAAGTCTCAAAACTGAAGATGGCCAGGGCAGGAGATACCAGAACCTGGTTTACAATGCTCCCTCGGGGCTGTCCCTGACAGTCAGGAAAAGACCACAACCTCCCAGCTGTTCTGCTTTTCTCCTCCCTGCCCTCCCAGGTGGGTGCCAGCGGTCGGGATGCAGTCACGGTGACTAGAGCCTCACGGTTCAGCCAGGGGCTAGCCTTCCTGGCAGCTGAGCTCTGCGACCAGCTCTGAGGCTGACAGATCTCACCTTGTCCCCAGGTCCCGTCCCAGCCATCCCTCATGACAAGCGATGTGACCTTCAGACTGAACGCTGGCAATGCTGCAGGACAGCAGCCGGGAGCCTCCTGACGGGAAACGGCCTGCACCAGGTATCCCGACACATCCTCAAAAGTGGCTTAGGAGATGGGCATTGGGTGCAGTGGTGAAGGGCTGCATGGGAAGCCCACTTCCCCTGTGAGAATGCTGGGGCAAGACCTCGCCACTTCCTGCTAATACATCCTGAATGGCAGGTGATGCAAGACTAAATTTTTGGGCCCCTGCTACCTATATGAAACCGAGATGGAGGTCTGGATTACTGGCTTGGGCTTGGCCCAGCCCTGGCTGCTGTGGGCATTTCCCACCTGAAACAGCAGGTGGGAAATATGTTTTGCCTTTCACACAGATGTAAAGAAATAGGCAAACATTTAAAACAAAGTACTCAGGAAAAAAATTAATCCTGAATTAGCCTAACTTTCTGAGCTTAAACGAGACAGGTAAGTGACAAGTCAAGGAAGGAAGGATGGGAAAGCTAATAAGAACAAATTCCAGTGGAAACACAACATGCAAGGTGGTACTTCAAAAAGTTTATGAAGGGGCCTGGTGCAATAGCCTTGTGGCTAATTGCTGCCTTGCATGCGCCAGGATCCCATGTGGGCACTGGTTCAAGTCCCGGCTGTTCCAATTCCCATCCAGTTCCTGCCTGTGGCCTGGGAATGCAGTGGAGGATGGCCTAAAGCCTTGGGACCTTGCACCTGCGTGGGAATTCAGGAAGAATCTCCTGGCTCCTGGCTTCGGATCAGCTCAGCTCTGGCCACTGCGACCACTTGGGAGAGTGAACCAGTGGATAGAGGATCTTTCTGTCTCTCCTTCTCTCTGTAAATCTGTCATTCCAATAAAAATTTTTAAAAGAAAATAAATAAAAATGTTTAAAAGTTTGTGGAGGGGCAGGCAACAAGCTAATCCTCCTCCTTCAAGCACAACATCCCATCTGGGCACTAGCTTTGTATCCTGGCTGCTCCACTTCTCACCCCTCCCTGCTTGTGGCTTGGAAAAGTCCTTGGGCTCCTGCACCCACACAGGAAGAAGCTCCAGGCTCTTAGCTTCAAATCATCTCAGCTCTGGCCACTGCAGCCACTTGGGGAGTGAAACAGATGGAAGATCTTTTTTTCTGTAAATCTGCCTTTCCAATAAAAATAAATATTAAAAAAGTTTGTGGAGAAGGTATATTACAAACTACACATACATAAAAAATACTTTTTGCACTAAAGCTTTAAAAAAAAAAACCTTTATCGGAAAGGCAGAAAGAGAGACTGATTCATCTTACACGTGCTGGTTCATTCCCCACATGCCTGCAACATCACAGCGAGGCCAGGGCTAAGGTAGGACATCCCAGAACTCAGTCTCTTCTCCTAGGCAGACAGGCAAAACTCCAGTGCTCGAGTCATCACCTGCTGAGGCCCAGGATGCACATCAGCAGGAAGCTGGAACTCCAAGCGGAGCAAAGACATAAGCCAGGTACTCAATACAGGAGGCAGGTGTTCCATGTCATGTCTGCATTTAACATCTGCTCCAGAATGCACACTTTAATTCTATTTTTTGGTGAACTTTTCAATGTATCCTTGCAATTCTACTGCTGTTGAGTAGGTGGGCATAAACAGAGCACAGAAAAGCTGGCATGGTGGCACATCAAGTTATGCCTGCTTGTGACACCAGCATTCCATCAGAGTGGCAATTTGAGTCCCAGCTATTCCCTTTCCAATCCAGTTTCCTGCAAATGTGCTTGGAAAGGCAGTGAGGATGGCCCAAAGTACTTGGACCCTTATCACTGTGCAGGAGGCTAGGGTGGAGCGCCTGGCTCCTGGCTCCTGGCTTTGGCCTGGATCAGACTTGCTATTTTGGGCAGTGAAGCAGTAGATGAAGACAGCTCCTTCTGCTTCTTCCTGATGTTCGCCCTCTTAAATCAATCAATCTTTGAATGAAAGCGGGAATGGTAGAGAGGAGAAGGTGAGAAGGCGGTCAGGGGAGAGGAGGACAGAGCATGCGTGTGGTCTGGGAGGGGCTAGGAGAGACTGGACAAAGAGATAGAGAGCTTGAAGGGAACTTAGGAAATTATCTGAGTCATGCCACATCTAAGCAGGACTATTAGTAAGTGACACAAAAATACAAGAAACGATCCTCTAGGTGAGGATTCTCCTTTCTAACCAGTCAGGTCATTTTATCTGAGTCTATCTCATTTGGCCAAAAAAGAAACCTCTCCTCTAAAGTAAGCGTAATTTCTGCATTCTTATTGAAAGGGGAAGCACATGTCCCCAGTACAGATGGCAAATAAACTGGTTACCATCTTTGGAATAGCAATCTTTCAGTACATGACAGATCCATTATTTTTCTAAGTCATCGTTCTCTGGGAGCGATGGGAGCGAGGGCTGGAACTCCAAGATGACTCTCATAATCCCTGAGTGTTTGGTTTTGAAAAGCTCACAGGTCAAAAAGGGCAGGAGTTCAAGCTTAAAAGGTGGACAGGACAGGTCAGCTTCTACTCTGGAGGCCGTACTTTATGCAGGAACGCAGAAGCAAGGCCTGTGACTGGACGCACAGGGTCTGGCATGGGGCTTCTGGAACGCGCAGCAAGGGCGGCATTACCTGCATGGTCTGGCCCTGAAGGTGCAGTCGATCTTTGCAGGCCACCTCATAGAAGTCGTAATACTCGAGAAAGGACTTTTCCATCACCCCACTAGGACAAAAAGCAGAGAGTTAGAAACCTGGGAAAGAGGCAGCCCCTTTCAGGTGCAACCTTAAATGCCGAATCAAACAGCCAGAGAACCCCAGTTCGCATTTGATTCCCCACAAAGATCTTTCAATGGAAAATGCAATGGTTGACTGCCCACAGCAGATTTCCCTTACACCTTAAGGATCTACAAAGTTACAGACTGTAATACTCACCATTTAAATCTTGAATCTCAAGTTCAGCTCATGGCTTGCTCCACTCAGCTCTATTTCCCATAACCTCAAACATTAACCAAAATTCTCCTTAAAAGTTTAGCTCTTTGCTCATTCAGTTTTAGCACTTAAAAGTAGACCTCACATGAAGACACTGATTTATTATAAAGTATTCTACTTCTCTTTTGGCATGATTGTCCTGAGCTGAGCTGCTGCCTTTTTTGGGGGGTGAGAGTAGGGGTAGGGATGAACATTTATGTTAATACGTTTATTTATTTGAAAGAGTTACAGCGAGAGGGAGAGAAAAAGGGAGAGAACAAAAAGAGGCAGGGAGAGAAGAGAACGAGAGAACAGAGGAAGAGAACTGGTTCATTCCCCAAATGGCCACAATGATCAGAGCTGAGCTGGTCCAAAGTTAGGAGCCAGGAGCTTTTCCCAGGTCTCCCACACATGTAGCAGGGGCCCAAATACTTCAGGCATTATTTATTGTCTTCCAGGCCCATTAGCATGGAGCTGGGTTTGGAGCACAGGAGCCAGGATTTGATCTAGCATTGATATGGGATGCAGACCTTGTGAGCAGTAGCTTCACCCATTGTGTCACAAACCATCCCTCTCTGAACTCCTCATTAGAGAGGGAGAGACAGAGGTAGCTCTCATCTGCCAGTTCATTTCCTAGATAGCCACAACGATCATGGCTGTGCAGGCTGAAGCCAAGAGCTCCATCTGGGTCCCCCAGGTGGGTGGCAGGGGCACAAACACTTCGGCCACCTTCTGTTGTTTTTTCCCAGGCCGTTACCAGGGAGCTAGATTGAAAATGGAAAGACAGGACACAAACTGGTACTACATGGATGCTGGCATCTCAGACAGCAGCTCTGCCCACTATGCCACAACTCTGACTCACTCTCACTCCTTGAAAATCATGATTATGGAACTGGCATTGAGGTAGGTGCTGGCATCCCTCTTACGCACTGGCTCAAGTCCTGGCTGCTCTACTTCTGATCAGTGGCAGATGGCCCCAGTGCTTGAGTTCCTAAGCTACTTGGGAGACCCAGAAGAGGCTCCTGGTTCCTGATCAGCTTACTTCTGGCTGTTGCAGCCATTTGGGGAGTGAAACAGCAGATGTAATACATCTCTCTGTAACTCTTCCAAATAAGTCAGGCAGACAGAAAAAAAGGAAGGACGGATGGACGGACAAGTGTGACTACAGCTTTTCCTTTCCTCTGCCCTCCACTCCAACTTCCCCCAAGTCTCTACTGGGTGTAAGCACCTTCGCTCCCCCGGGCAGTCTAGAGTGGGCTCCTCTGACACGTACCGTAAGGGCTCTGGGCAAGGACATTTTCCTTCCATCATGTCACAGACTGCAACTCTGATGGTCTCATGCCGGATACATTCATTGTAGTTCTTGCTATCTCCTGGATGTCTTTCCTGCAATGTGACAAATGCCATAGTACCCAAGTACAAACTTTAGGTAAAGAGAAAAACTAATAGGAAAATGTCAAGATTAGTATGGGGTATGCGACCCATCATGGCACGACACCACCCCTTTCCCACAGCAGGATAGAACCGAGAACAAGTATTCACCACCCAGCCCCACCCCACATCCTTATCCTCTATTCTAGAACCTGAAATGAAGGGCCTATTCAGGTACTGATTCAGTGGAACAACAGTCAAACCTAACAGCAATGGTGGAAAGAGAAGTTCTAAATGATGCAAGGAATCAGCGTGGAAAATCCCTGGGCATCCGTAAGTACAGGAAGCTTCCTGCTTAACATTTGTCTATATGTTCCACCATCCCTGGAACAAGCATAAATCAGAAGCAGAACTTGAAACTTTCAAAAGAAAAACTTCAACTTGGGTTGAGAAAACTCAGCTGGGTGTGGGAGGGTGGCCTCCTCACCGTGATGGCTGCTTTGATTCTCTCCCTGTTCCTCCTGTCTCCAACCCAGCAATCAGACTGGCTGCTGAACACCTAGGAGATGTGCTCACACACCGCCAGCCTGCCAGTGTTCCACATCTGCACCACGGCAAAACCATGGGGGCATGGCGGGGAGGGAAACTGTAGCACTCATCCTATCAAACCACCAGGTGAACTACTAGTTTGAGATAAGACAGTGAACAGGAAGCAGGAGTGCTGAGGTCTAATGTCATTCTAAGATTTTTTTTTAAGTGGTGCAGTGGACAACAGGTGAATATATATCCTGTTAATTATTTAAGAAAGTTCTTTATATCTATTTCATAAAAAGGAATAGTTTGGTATTTCTTTTCACCTGGAGAACTGAAAAAAATTCCAAAAACACCATGGGTGTGAAAACTTGGGAGCATTAAGAAGTCAGCACTCCTGAATTTCCAAGCCATGAGACCTGACAAGCAGCTCCCTGTGCAGCCAAGGAGTTTACTGCCATCACTGCCTGCTCCTGAAATCGGGTCCACCATTTGTGCAGAAAACATGGTTTTCAGAATCATTCCTGTGCAAAAGTGTATTTATTCAGGTATATCATAGAAGAATGAGCAATGCTCACTCTGAAGTAGTTTAAAGCTTACGGTGGTCTAAGCACCAACATGAAACATATTTTGAGGGTATCACTGATACTATTTCAGTGCTCAAGAACGATTCAAAAAGGCACTTTGGGGCAGTGGTAGGGCAGTGCCAACCCAGGGTCCTGCTCTAATCAGGCTGTTCTCATGCAAGTTTATTAGCTTCTCAGAGCCACTGTTCCCTCATTTGAAAAGAGGCACGACAACATTTATCTCAGACTTAGACTTGGCAGTGTCCGGCACACTTTGCATCGCCTACTCTTGGAAAACGACCATTTTCTTTGCCCCTCTCTGGCAGTCTGGCATGCTCATGACAACTCTGCTCTACAGGGAACGGCCTCTCCTAATTCCGAGTCATTGGCCACGTGGTGTTCACGAGGGGACACTCAGAGGGGACGCTGCAGGCTTAGAACCCACTTCCAAATGACTCCACGGACCTCCACACTGCGGCTTAAGCCAAGTGAAACACATGCTAGTGTCACTTGTAAGTAAACACACTGACACTAAGCAGCATGTATGTCAGCTCCCTCTTTCCCCTACAGTGGCCAGTAAGATCTACAGAGCTACGCCAGGTCAAAGAAAGCTCTCTCCAAACCCTTAACACTGCACCTCCAAAGCTGGCCCGTGTGGCCTTACCTGTTCAAAGCCAGGCTCATTGTGGTACGGGTTCTCAGTCATCAGGGACTGGATGGAGATGAGCACGGAAGAGATACTTTGGGCTGGGCTCCAGGCTGGGCCGGTCCATGTACTGCAACACAGCAAGGGAAGGGAGCAGGGTGAGGTAGGGGCCGCGTACCTCGGGCCTGCCAGCACCACCGCAAAGTGACTCATTCTAAGCAAGTTTCTCTTTAACTACTAACATTCTAGGAATTCCCAGCTTGTCTCATCCTCACTGAATTACTCAATCGCCTAATCCCCATCTAGTGGGACAAGCAAGATAACCTTGAAGGAATTTTCTCTGGGTCAGAAAAGAAAGAATAGCTGGGGAAGGTGGAAGATGACAGCACCAAAGAAACAAGCCAGGAAAGCCACTCTAGAGGCTGTCTAAAGCTGACCTGTGTGGCTCTGGAGAGCTTATTGGTTTACTGGTGGTGATGGAGTTCCAAGAGGGCAAAGAGAAATTCAACAAAGGCACACAAGTAACTGAAGTCATTAGCGAAACGGGGTACATAAATCAGGGATCCAATTCAACATCAAACATTTCCTGAAAACTACACAACTGTCAGAGCAGGAGAGATGGTCCTTGCAGGCCAAAGGGTTTGCAAATAATACAGATCATTAAGATAAATGCCAAGATTGCTCCTCTTTCATAAGCTTGATTCAGCCTAACACAGGGGATGGCAATGTTGTATTATTTTAGCTTATTCCTTCCCTAGCTGAAGAGATGGCGCCAGGGTTGGAAGACAAATAAAACTGGGACCACAACTGGCTTCAGTGAACTGGCCCCTGCCCTTTCCCTGCCGCCCAAGTCGGCGAGTTGCCATAGGGTCACCATACCACAGGCAGCTCTTACAGCCTCCCCAACTCCTCTCCACTCTGCTTTGTTCTCCCAGGAACACTGCACCTCCTACGTCGCGGCATTAAGGATTTGGGGATTCATATCAACAGGGTCAATTCTCATTCAATTTCTTTTGTCATTAAATCAGCCCAGTATTTTGCCTAGGGGAGGAAAGGAATGAGGCTGATACAGCTAACAGAGTAAAACTAAGATGACATGGGAATTTTCTCTGGGGTCCTCGTGGTAAAATCTCAACTTCAGGACACTCCCTTCCTACCCAACAAACCTCTACCACTTTTACCCCACTATGTGACTTCGCCGGTCTTTACTACGCACAAGCGTTTGCTTAAAATTGTTTTTACATTGGTTTCATGAGGGAGAAGCTAGAGCCAACACTTTAATGAACAATTCTGCACAGAAGCAATAACCAAACTTGTTTACCACGACAAGTTTATACAAGATCCCCACTACCATCCTCCCAGCCCAATTAGGAGAGGAGGGACTTTTTTTAATGGCAAACTATCACAATCACAACAGAACACATCCCTAGATGTGAGAGTTCTAGAACAAAGAATCTTATTTCAAGCTTGTTTCAGCTTCCCACCTGCTGCAAACCTGGAAATATGTTGGATGGGAAGTTGCCAATTAAGGCAACTGTTTCAACTTCAACCTGCACTTCTCTCTACCCCAAGGGAATTCAGATCACAATCCAAAACACACAAGAAGACATTTTCATTCTGATTTTCTAACCCCCAATGGCCATCAGAATGGACTGAATGGGAACTCCTTGGATAAAATCCTCTGCTGCGTTCAGCAGAAGATATACTTAAAACTGATAACTTCCAATGGTAGAGATTTTTCATCCAATTGTTAAAACATCACAATCATTAGCACCACCAATACTGCTTGCAGAGCCAGTTGCGGAGACTCAGAAGGGAGATGCCCACAGCCCTTTTCTGTCCAGGCAAAATTGAGGCCAGCGCCCACGGGGAGTGGCTCTCAAGCTGGCAGGGGGAGGGGAGAGCACCTGCAGCACTAGGGGGCAGTGGGCCCACCTGGAGGCTGCTGATCCTATGGCCTGGGGTGGGACTCCCCAGTCGGCAGGTGCTGCTGCTGCTGCTCAGGGACCACACTGTGAGAACCACTTCATCCAACACCTCTGAATGATGGTGGACATGTGCCATCCCGGGCAGCACTGAGTTTGCACTACTACTTTCTCTTTTCTGTGGTTCCGATGAGCCGCCCTCATGACGAAGGCTGGCTCAGAGTAACCATCTGCTGCTAACAAAGAACTCTTACCCTAGAATACTCAAGCAGACTTTCCCATTGCGGTAGAAGTTGGGGTTAAACCTCACTGTGTTATTGCCCGTTGTCATCAGTTTGACCCGAGGTGGGTGGATGGGATAGTCGGGTGGACACCGAAACACGAACAGGAAGAAACCCCCTTCATAAGGAGTGTCAAATGGGCCTGTGATCAATGCATGAATCTGCAAAATAAAACCCCATCTCAAAATTGTGAGGTGACATTCCCCCACCCACCCACCCGCCTGACTTCTACCTACTACCCATGCCAACAGCAGGCACCGCTGGGCATCCATGTTCTCACCATGCAGAATGAATATCCTGTACTCAACTTACATTAGCAAGTACATATACAATTTTAAGAAAAATCTCACTATAGTGACATATCATCATAGGAGTTATATTCCAGTTACAGAACTACGGTGAAAACTCAATCTAATCAGAACCATTCTTGGTTAGGTAGTCCTTAAAACTCTGCTGAAGCCTGTCTTTCTGTGTACATCTCTATCATCTGCTATGTATAACACGTGTATAACCCTAACACACTGCTGGGTATAACACTACCAACGTGTGTAGCGTAAGCCTAGCAGCTCCAGAAATCACTATGCATTTCTCCAGAGCATGCTAAGTTTGGATTTGTCCAGGTAAACACACTGGTGATGTATGTATGTGGCACAAAGGAGAGGTAGGAGGAAAGGAAAGCACAGGACTGGAGGTCACAGCATTAGCGCTGGTAACAGTGCTGGGGGCAAGGGAGGCATATGGTACCTCAACTTACTGGGGAGGATCTACTGGTTAACACAAAACAATGGCAGCAGTCCTTAGAACACTAAATTTTGTACTCCACAAATCCCAGTTACTTTAGATTTCCACTCCTAAAGGAAAAAAAAAAAACCTGGCCTAGTACAATAGCCTAGTGGCTAAATCCTAGCCTTACATGCACCAGGATCCCATATGGGCTCCAGTTCATATCCTGGCTGCTCCACTTCCCATCTAGCTCCCTGCTTATGGGAAAGCAGCTGAGGATGGCCTAAAGCTTTAAAACCCTGCGCCCATGTGGGATACCTGCAAGAAACTCCTGGCTTCGGATCAGCTCAGCTCTGGCCGTTGTGGCCACTTGGGAAGTGAATCAGCTGATGAAAGATCTTCCTCTCTGCCTCTCCTTCTCTCTGTAAATCTGCCTTTCCAATAAAAACAAATAAATCTTAAAAAAAAAAAAAAGGATAAAAACTGAACTAACTCAGTTACATTTTCTCCTCTAAGCACTTATATCTACTTAGAATGTGAACAGCACGAGGAACAAAGACACTGTAATTCAATGCCTCAGTCTAAACTCCCCACCTTAGCCTGGCAATAATCCTAACATTTATTTTGCCATTTGGAACAGCAAATTCAACTGGTCAACATGGCATCAGTTCTGGGGCCCCAGGATAGCATAATGTGGATACCTGACAGACTAGATGTCCCAGGAAAAACTCTTCTAAGCACATAAGAAGGAAAAAAAAAAATCAATATAAAGAGAAGTCTATTCAAAATAAAAGCTATACCAACAACACAAAATGTCAACTTCCACCCTAAGTCATTTTCATTTAAATGCTCCCAGATTCAGAAACAGGGGCCTTGCCCACACCAGCTTAAGTGGAAATTCACTTTTGAGGGCAGAGAATAATGGAGAAGACTCAAAATCCACACCAGAAGAACCAGACATCACGGTCTGAAACTTCTCTGTGTGGCCAGTGAGAGGAATGGTCTCTGAGGTGGAAGAGATAGTCAGCAGTCAGGATGGAGTCTACACAAGAGACCTTTGCACCACAGACACTTCAGTGCAGCTGGCTCTCCCCCAAAGCTTCCCTGTACTGACTCACAGCATCCTAGTTCAAGTCGGGGGGAGGAGGGAGCAGGGTGCAGGGGGTCAGACAAGATGGGCAGAGTTGGGTACAACGGGCAAGGTGACCGTGTAATTTACCACCTGGACTGGAGCACTGATAGTGAAGTTGTGACAATGGGCATCAACTGGGATTTTCCAAGTCAGCCTGGGAGTGTCGGCTCTCTAACAGTCACCTGTTGCAGGCCTTGCTCCACCTCACTATGTGACCCTGGCTGAGCCACCTACTCTCTTGGGGCTTTGCATCCCTCATCTAGGTGATGAACAAGGTAAGCTGATTAATCTTCTATACTCTTCCAACTTGATGAGCCCTATTTCCCCCAAACCCTTGACTCCCCACCAAGTTACATACCTTAGTCATGTCAACAGTATCGGGTACGACGAACATTCCTGGAGGAGGCTCCTTATAAATGGACATGATATCCCTGCATAATACCAAGAGGGAGTGGGAGCAGGCGTGAGGGCAGGGAGGGGACGGGGACATCCCTTGAGTGGGACAACTGTCATCACCTCATCGAGGCCAGGGCTTGGGAAAGCGGAGCTTGGTACCACATATGTCTGTACTGTCCTGTTGGCTGAGAATCTCAGCCGGGTACTTGTCAGGCAGGCAGAGAGCAAATTATCATCAAAGGGACATTGTTTCATCAGGAAGAGGGGAGGGAAAGGCGAAAAAAAAATATCAGTGATCCCAACCGCATCAGATGTCACCCTGAAAAGCCACCTCCCATGTACTCTCACTTCCTCCCACAAGACAGCTCATTCACTTGTCACCTCCCAGGTACTACGGCTGAATGCTAAATGAGGACTTTGTAAGTAACTTGGAAGGCACAGTCAACTTCATTAAAAAAAAAAAACAAAACATATTCTACAAACCCTCTACTCCCCCATGGCCAGAGGATTCCATGAAGCAAGTGATCCATCAATAGCAAGGGGCAAGACCATCGTGGTGGTCTCCTGGCTCAAGAGAGGAACAGCCTAAACCTCCACAGGTTGGGGAGAGGAGGATCTTTCCATTATGCTGTCAGTCTCCTATCGTGAGGATGCCACGTGATGACTGCTAGTGAAGAGAGCATGTCAGGGTCATATCTCACCAACTGGAGCGGGTGAACTAAGGAACAAGGGGCTACAGAACATTGTAGATGAGGGGAAAGTCTAGGGAGGTGCTAGGGTAGCCTGAGCCAGGAAGTCATTAAACTCCAAAGTGTGTCAGGACTGTAAGACTGACAGGTGCAAAGGCATTCGAGAGTTGAGGGTCAAGTTGAAGTTGGGAGCTGGCACTCTGTCGGGCACCGTGCCAGGTACTTCACGCATGTCACATGGCTTAGTTTTGATCATAAGTTTGAAAAATAAGGAGAGAAGACAAAGGAAGGAACTTGGGAGCCTGGGAGACATCTGGATGAGGCGGCTGGGGATGGGAGGGTGGGGAGCAGGCCGGTCATCTGGAAACAGATTGCAGGATTAGCAGCAGCCCAGTAGGACTACTCTCTTGCTGTGCACTTCTGTAAAATCCATGATCTATGAAATGATACTATCGCAGATCAGTCACCCACGGAAGAAGCACAAAGCACGGAGGCCTTTGTTCCTATATTTGAGTTGAATACATTTGCTTGAGAAAAGTAAACCAAAGAATCCAGGTGAGGGGGTGGAGGAAGGAAGGTCCCTGAGTGGGCTAGTACAATCCAGAGTGTGGCCACGGGAGTGGGGGTGGGGGCTGAGTGGAGCAGGTGTGAGATCAGACAGGTGTGACACCTGGAAAACGGGTTTTAACGGAAGAGTCAGTTGAGTGAAGCAACTGAGAGCGTACAGGGGCCTCAGGGTGCAGATAAAGAGAAAGGCAGGCTACAGTTAAAAAAAAAAAAAAAAGCAAGCAAGCCAGCTCGGTCTGTTACACACTGGGCTCCACAGGGGACGAGGGAGACCCATGGGTGGGTCCCCCCCCACCCAAGGCAGCATCTGCCTGGGCCCGGATGGGGAAGGGGGGACAGGGGCGGCGCAGAGGGCGGGAAGGGGGTGTTACTGAAGCGCCACAGGGTCGGGTTTCGGACAGGGGGCCGTGGGGTGGGGGTTGGGGGGGGAAGGCGGACAGGAGGCTCCCGAGGGGCGGGGTCCGATCCGGGCACGCGAAGAGGGCTTCGGTGCTGGGGGGTGGCGGGAGAGAAGAACCTTGGAACCCCGACGCGCTCCCGGATGGCAGGCCTCGGGCTTTTGGAGCGCGGCAGGTTGAGGCGTGAGAGACACCCGGGAGGGGATGGAGGGGGGGCGGGGAAGGTCGCGCCCCGGCAGCGCGGGGCTTGCGGGAGGGGACACCCCGGCTCACCGCTTGATCCGGAGTAGACACTGCGGCGCGGTTCGCTCGCCGTCCCAGTCAGAGCTGAGCGTCGGGTCCCAGTGGCTAAGCAGCGCGGCCCCGTGGGCAGCGGCCGAGGGCGGGAGCCCGGGCAGCGGAGCCAGGCCGCTCCCCGGCCCCCCGGCCCCGCCCGCCGCCGCCGCCGCCGCCCACACATCCGGCAGGAAAGGCGGCCCGAAGCCGCCGCCGCCGCCGCCGCCGCTAACGCCAACAACGCCAGCGACGCCGCTCGCCCCGGGGCCCGCCGCCCCGGCGCCTGCCGTCGCCGTCGCCGCCTCTTCAGTCGGACTCTCCGCCATCGCTGCTTCGCTTCCGGGACTGCTCGGCAGCACGTCCGCCGACCAGAGCGGCCGCTGCTCCCCGCCCGCTCGCGCACCACCGAGAGCCGGGCCAGAGTGTCCCCACCCTCCGCTGCCACAGCCCGGGCGGCGCTGGCTCCGCCCACTCGCGCCCGGACCAGCGAGAGGTGATCTGCAAGAGCGTCCACCCTCGGTCCTCCAGGGCCGGGAGGTCGGGTGGGAGGAGGCGGGGAGAAAACTAGCGGGCCCGTGAGCGTCCCGTGCGCTGTGCCCAAGCGGTGGAGAGCCAGGTATCTGAGGAAATCTCATGTCCAGACGTTGAAAGTTTAAAGAAGCGCTGGGGAGAGAGCTAGGTCCTCCCCCCTCGAGCGAGTGAGACCCTCAGGCGTGCACCCGAGACAGGCGTGGACTTCGGGCTCCCTCTTAGGAAGAGTGGACAGTCTCAGGGCCGTTCCGGAGCCCGGCTCTGAAGGTGGACCCTTGTCCCCTGCACCCTCGTCCCCCGCTGCCCGCGGCGGCGTCCACAGGGACGAAGGAGTGGGAGCTGCCCTCGGAAGGCCGCCTCTGTGGCCTGGGTGACTTCATGGCGTTTAGGAAGGCCCCACCGAGTGCCAGGCGCTGCTGCAGGGACCATGAACCCGGACCTGAGCCGCCCTCGGCCAGAAAGCAAAACCAGGCCTCCCGACTCAAGTGCAGAGATATTCTAGCTTCAAGTGCAGAGATATTCAGGAATCGAGCGAATTACTATAAATTCTAAAAGGATTCCCGAGGACTTTTTAAAGTGAAACATAATCCTAACGACTAAAAAAAAGCAGGCCTTCCAAGAAAAACTTTTTTCCCCTCCCTAGCCTACTATCCGGAAGGCAGTAGGGTCAGATGTGTTTCAGAATCGAGGGGGACATCCCCAGCAGGGCACAGGGCAGCCCCACCACTTTGCAAAACAGTAATGTCTGTTGAGCAGTGTATGAATATTCATTCTAATCTCAGCACATGTGTGTTGATACTAAGGAGAAAAGCGTCACTTTGGATTACACTTGCGTGCTAGATTTGTTTTTTTAAAAGCGTGCGTGCCAGGAGCTGGGTGCGGTAGCCTAGTGGCTAAAGTCCTTGCCTTGCACGCACTGGGATCAGCTCAGCTCCGGCTGCTGTGGCCACTTGGGGAGTGAACCAGCAGATGCAAGATCTTTCTTTGTCTCTCCTTCTTTCTGTAAATCTTTCCAATGAAACTAAGTAAATCTTTTTTTTTTTTTTTTTTTTTTTAAGAAAATCCTGGGTGCCAGAACTTTGGGGATTTCCAGTAATGGACTGTGGACCCGAGATGGTCACACCACTGTAATTTCTCTAACATGAACTGAGGGATTCTATATCCTGGCCTGGTACTTTTCTTATTTTTAATTTTTTTTTTTTGGTTAAATTTATGTGATTCATTTGAAAAGCAAAATTATGAAGAAAGCGAAATAGAGCTTCCATCTGTGGATTTTCTCCCCAAATGGCTTCAACATCTGGAGCTGAGGTGGGTCTGAAGTGAGGAGCTTCTTCTGGGTCTTCCACGTGAGCGCAGGGTCCCAAATACTTGGACCATCTTCTGCTGCTTTCCCTTCCAGGCATATTATCAGGGAGCTGGATAGGAAGTGGAATAGCCGGGGCTTGAATCAGTGCCCACTTGGGTGCTGGCACTGCAGGCAGTGGCTTGGCCTGCCCAATGACCCTATGAAGTGAGAATTGTTTGTTCAGTCACTTCCACAGGGGCACAGTGGGAACACCCTGAGGCTGAAAGCCGGACTGAGCCACTGGGAGACACTGACACCAGGGGAACCACACTTCCTGTTTTCGCATATGCTGATTATGATCCTGTGGTACCTGTGTGCCAGCCCCTTTCCCCTTCTCCCTGTACTATATCCCCCCCATGGATTATCCATAGTAAACTCAACTCTAGACTTTGCACAGTTTAGGTACGTAACATGAAAGCAAAGTAATCAATGGATGTTGCACATGCATTTTACATTTTATTGGTAGAGGGTCCATTATCGTAACAAAGACACTAGACTGTATCAAAGGGCACAACACAAAACTGGTCATGGTGGTTGCCACTAGATTTCTTTTGTACCTTTTTTACCCAGATGCCAGCGTCACAGGCTGGGGCTTCATCCACTGAGATGGTCTCTACTTTCTTTCTGAGTATTATTGTGCCTCTATTGCCTATTCAGATTTTATATTTCACTCACATACAGGATTCTAGAATTCTGCTTGAATATTATGATTATTTATTTTTAGTGAGGTGGTCACTGATCAGCCTCCTGGGTATCTCAAAGAAGAGCAGCATAGCAAGCCTGGCGCGGTAGCCTAGTGGCTAAAGTCCTCACCTTGCACACACCGGGATCCCATATGGGCAGCAGTTCTAATCCTGGCTGCTTCTCTTCCCATCCAGCTCCCTGTCTGTGGTCTGGGGAAACAGTAGAGGATGGGCCAAAGCCTTGGGACCCTGTACCCATGTGGGAGACTCAGAATAAGCTCCTGGCTCCTGGCTTCAGATCAGCCCGGCTCTAGCCAGTGTGGCCACCTGAGGAGTGAACCAGCAGATGGAAGATCTTTCTCTGTCTCTCCTTCTCTCTGTAAATCTGCCTTTCCAATAAAAATAAATAAATCTTAAAAAAAAAAGTGTTTCTGAGGATCAAGTTTGATGTTTATAGAAGTGTTTTGCAGAACAGCAGGCATGCAGGCAGGTAATGCTAATCCACACCGCGTTTGCCCAACTATCTTCTCTCCTCCAGTCCCTGCTGCTGTCTCCCAGAGGAAATCCTGGGTCACCTCTCTGAACCGCTGTTCCTCACCCGTAAAACTGGGAAAATAATGGCAGCTACTAAGAAGGACATAATGTGATAATGAGTGTACACCATGGTTGGCTAGAGTAAATGTTCAGTAATTATTCACCCTTATTATTATTCATCCTTCAAAGCAGGCTGGGATATTACTTTCTCTGCTAAGCCCTAACAATTTTAGGTGTATTATTATTGTTGTTAATTAGTTAGTTTTAATGATTCCTCTGGTTGTTAATGGCTGATGACTCATGCCTTTATTATAGCACATCCTACCTTTGAGTGGCTTGGTTGCTCAATTGTTGAGCCACTACATGGGACTTCCTCTAGGGCAAGTGTGGGGCACATATCTCTGTGGCTGTGGGATCTGACCTGCAGCGGATGTGAACCTGTGTGAATGGTGAACGGAATGGAAATGAGGACATTGTAGCCAGTTGCCCCTCCCTGGCCCTAGATTTTGAGGCTTTGACCACCTGTCCAGATATGCACCCATTTGTTAAACAATCTTTTTAATTTTTTATTTATTTTAAAATATTTATTTATTTTTATTGCAAAGTCAGATATACAGATAAGAGGAGAGACAGAGAGGAAGATTTTCCATCTGATGCTTCACTCCCCAAGTGACCGCAACAGCCAGAACTAAATTGATCCGAAGCCAGGAGCCAGGATCTTCTGGGTCTTCCATGCAGGTGCAGGATCCCAAGGCTCTGGGCAGTCTTCGACAGCTTTCTCAGGCCACAAGCAGGAAGCTGGATGGGAAGTGGGGCTGCCACGATAGAAACCAGCATCCATGTGGGATCCTGGCATGTTCAAGACGAGGGCTTTAGCCGTTAGGCCACCACACCGGGCCCAACATAATTTTTAAAGATTCATTTATTTATTTATTTATTTTTGGAAAGGCAGGTTTACAGAGAGAAGGAGATACAGAGAGAAACAGCATCCATCTGCTGGTTCACTCCCCAAGTGGCCACAATGGTAGCATCTGAGCTGATGGGAAGCCAGAAGTTTCTTCTGAGTCTCCCATTTGGGGGCAGGGTCCCAAGGCTTTGGGCCATCCTCTGTTGCTTTCCCAGGCTACAAGCAGGCAGCTGAGTGTGATTTGGAGCAGCAGGGATAGGAACTAGCGCCCACATGGGATCCTGATGCAGGAAGGGGGAAGATTTAGCCACCCATTTTCTTGCAAAATAGTTGAGCTGAGCTTTCCCAAGAAACATGCAAGTTACGGCCTAAAGACTTATACGGCATGACGGTTGTTTAAAGGACTGGCTCACCTGCTGACCACAGAACTGTGGCAGGCAGCTGCATAGGGGAACAGGAAGGACCCAACTGGGACCAGGAGAGGAAGCTGGCACTGCTGCTTCTAAGGCTCACCAACTTCAAGGCAATACCTGGCTGCTTTCCTCTGGCACTGTGGCCAGAGGGCAAGAGTGTACTTTCTGGAGTCATGCCCGTGGCCTCCAGGGATTGCTGACACAACTCAGTGGTCTCCCTCTAGGATCCAATCCTCTCTCCTCCCTGGCCCTGGCCTGCCCCACATTCTAGCATGTCTCCGTGCAACAAAGCTTACACATAACACCTAGCCAGTGTCCTCTCCCAAGGACAGGGGCTGGCAAGTGTCCTGGAGTCCAGGTCACTGCTGGGTCTCAGCCTGCTCTAAAAAGTTCCCTCTTTGCCAAGCTCCTGTGTCCAGCTGCCCTTTGGGGCAGTCCTTCCCCACCAAGGCCAAGCCTTTTGTCTTGGCTCAAGCCCAGGGTTATACTCTAGCTGGTCATAAATCCTGAACTAAAAGGAAAAGCCAGTAGCGAAGATAGCTATTTTGTAACTTCTGATTATATGTTTAATAGACTATATTTGATAGTTTAATAATGTATTGCCTCATAGATTTGTCATCAACACATCTTAACATTTTACATGCTTCTTAATACATGTGTCATTTGCATATATTACCTTGGATTGTTTTGTCACAACCACTTTTAAAAATGTATTTATTTACATACTTACTTCAAAGGTAGAGTTAGGAAGAAGGAAAGATAAAGATTTTCCATACTCCGGTTCATTTCCAGATGGCCAAAATGGCTGGAGATGGGCTGGGCTGGGCTGGAGCCAGAAGCCAGGCACCTAATCCATGTTTCCCATGTGGATGTAGAGGCCCAAGCACATGGGCTGCTTTCCCGGGCCATTAGCAAGGAGTAGATCAGAAGTATAGCAGCCAGGACTTGAACCAGCTCCCATGCGGGATGCCCATGATGCAAGTGACAGCTTATCCTGTTGTACTGCATTGCCAGCCCCAAAACTATTACTGATCTTTGAATTTTTTAAATAACCTAGGTTCTTCTTTTTAAAAACAAATTTATTTTCATCTCATCTGAAAAGCAGAGATCTACCATCTATTGGTTCACTCCCAGATAGCCACAATGCGCAGGGCTGGAGCAAGCTGGGGCCGGAGCTTAGGAGTCAGATTGGCTTTCTGCAGGATGGCAGGGATTTGAGTACTCTCACCACCACCTGCTGCTCCCCAGGGTGCACACTAGCAAGAAACTGGGTCACATGAACAGCCAGCAATTCCAGCGCAGGCACTCTGACACAGGATGTTGTTATCCCGGTGTTTATAAACTGCTGTGCAAGAAGCCCATCAGACACATTGCTCTTTATCCTCATTTAAAGATGAGGAAAGGAAGGCTCGGGGAAAACAGTATCCAGGTTACAAAGAGGCCCGGCGCCATGGCTCAGTGGCTAAATCCCCACCTTGTAAGCACTGGAATCCTGTATGAATGCTGGTTCATGTCCCAGTTGCTCCACTTTCACAGCCTTGGACTCTGTTCCCATGCAGGAGATCTGGAAGATCCTGGCTCCTGGCTTTGGATCAGTTTAGCTCTGACTGTTGTGGCCATTTGGGGAGTGAAGCAGCAGATGGAAGATCTTTCTGTATCTCCTTTTCTGTAACATCTGCTGTTCCAATAAAACTAAATAAATCTTTATAAAAAAGTCTTGGTGGGCCCAGTGTAGTGGCCTAGCAGCTAATGTTCTCACCTTGAATGCACTGGGATCCCACATGGATGCCAATTCTAATCCTGGCAGCCCTGCTTCCCATCCCGCTCCCTTCTTGTGGCCTGGGAAAGCAGTCGAGGACTGCCCAGAGCCTTGGGATCCAGCACCTGTGTGGAAGACTTGGTAGAAGTTCCTGGCTCCTGGCTTCGGATCGGCTCAGTACTGGGCGTTGCGCTCACTTGGGGAGTGAATCAATAGATGGAAGATCTTCCTCTCTGTCTCTCCTCTCTGTATACCTGACTTTGCAATAAAAAAAAAAAAAGTCTGGGTGCCAAGGACTAACTGTTCTCACTAGCTAGCGATCTTCCTCAAGCCCATGGGGCCCTTGGGCTCACCACTGCACCTACAGCAGCGATGCTTCAGATCATGTCCAGCAATTTGATTCCAAGGCTGTTTGACACAGTAGCTGACGCCTGCTTTCTGCATCAGAGTTCTGGGCTTGATTCCAGCTACCTGACAACGTACACCTTGGGCTGCAGCAAGGAGTGCCTGGGTTCCTACCACTGTCATGGTAGAAACAGATTGCGTTCTGGACTCCTGGCTTTGACTTGGCCCAGCCCCTGGCTGTTTTAGACATGGCGGCAGGGGTGGGGAGGTTAGAGAGGTTTTGTCTCTGCTTTTGAAATAAACCACTGTCCCCTGGGGGGGGGGGGAGGTGGAGTGGGAAACAAGTTCCTAGAACGTCATTGGAATGATGTAACTATCATCCTTAGGGAACATTCCTTGATTACCTCTGAGGGGCAGTGACCAGCCGGGCTGCCAGCGTGACATCCCGAGGGGGTTCTAGCCTTCTGTTTGTGTAACAGCGTTGCCATTACTCCTTTGGCGATACCTTGGCTGCCAGTTCAGCCTTGGTGCTGTCCCTTCTCCTTGGGCTTCCTGGGCTGTATTTCAGATTCTATCATTGGTTTGCTGTATGCAACCCTGAGGGTTATTCAGGGTAGGAAGCCGACAGCGGCTATGGCAGTTCACTTTCTAATTGCGATTTCGCCCCCAGTCCGGAGAGTGGGCGTGACCTGACCTGATTTTAACTGTTGGTTGTCCCTGCTTGGGGGTTTGGGAGGAGGAGGGCATTGTTACTGGCAACTGGTGGGCACAGGCTAGGGATCCCATTGCACACACATTGCACAGCTGTGGATTATCTGGCTTCAGTATGCCAAGGCTGAGAAATTCTATGATTAGAAAGGCTGTGATTGTTGAAAGTCAGATGGACTTGGGTTGGAATCTTGGCTTGCTGCATGACCTTGGATAAATCATTGATCTTGTTAGCACCTAAGATAGGTTGGCATAGTGATAAGAATATGGACCTTGGAGGGGGTTTTTTTAGGTTTTATTTATGTAAAAGGCAAAGCTAGAGACCTGAGATCTTCATTCACTGGCTCATTCCCCCCAAAATGACTACAACAGTCAGCGCTAGGCCAGTATGAAGCCAGGAGCTTTTTCCAGGTTTTCCATATGTGTAGAGGGGCACAAGGACTTGGGCCATCTTCTGCTGCTTTCCCAGTAGCTGGATTGGAAGTGGAGCAGTTAGGACTTGAACTGGTGTTCACAGAGTGTTGGCACTGCAGGTGGCAGCTTCACTTGCTATACTACAACCTTGGCTCCAAATCCTTACATTTTGAATTCAGGGTTTCCCAAGCATGCAGGATGCCTCTGGTTCCTAGGGTTGCTCAGTGAACCACCTGCTCAACACCGTGCGTGACACACATGAGCTCAAAATGTCAGCCCGTGTTGTTACAACGCTCCAGCCACCTTGCCTTTTCCTCTTGGAACTGGGCACAGAGCTTCGGCACCTCTCTGATGACATCAGGGATTGTTCATGGTGCTTTCTTCTCTAGCCATGCCCAAGTTCTAGGGCAACGACCTTTCACATTTCCCTTCCTCCCAAGGAAGGCACCTCAGTACCTACAAGTTTAAATCCTATGTAGCACTTGTCTGAACCCACCTCGTTAATTTCCTTTAAGTAGGAAGTTCTTGTAACAGTAACCAGGAATGCCTTGGTGCCACTGATTCAGACGCATAAAGCTTCCCCAGATGGGTCCCACTGAATCAGAGTGTTATTGTTCCATTGGAAGCCATCTATCTTGAGACAGCCCATGTGCGCCTCTCCCTCCCTCCTACCTCTGCACAATTTCTGTCCATGGCTGGCTTATTCCTGCTAGGGCTTAGAAAAGCAGTGGCTGTTGACCTATCCCTCTGGCTGTATCTCACCTGGGCTGTCAGTCCCCGCTAGCCTGCTGGGAGAGACCCTGGGTACAGACTTTGAGATCATAAGGAAGACGATGCATGAAGCACCTTTTTATATCCTCAGCAATGAATCTTCCAGGAACAGGGACTGTATACCTTATCCGCTTTATTTGAGACTACGCAGAAACTTGGTTAATTGATAATGAAAATAAAATAATTGGGGGCTAAATATAGGCAAGCAGAAGCCCTTCTCCACTTCTAACATGTTGAACAACTTCTCAGGGACTAAATGTCCATCTTAATTGTGGTGTGATAAAAATGGAACAAGGTGGCCCCATAAGTTAGCCACAGGCTTAGGCTGGCCAGAGGACGATCTATGCTGCCACTTTCTAGCTTGGTGACCTTGGAGTCACCCCACCTGTGGAAGCCCTGGGGCTCTCATTTGCCAAGCAGTGGGCAGCTGTCCTTACAAGTCATGGGGGGGTTGAAATAAATGTGGAACACTGGGTACAGTGCTTACTGCCCACTAAGCCCTTCAAAAGTACTACATATTAGCATAGTCATCTAGAGGGGAACAGCAGGGAGCATCCACACAGACAAGTCCATCTGCCTCCTGGGAGAGCCCCAGGGCCCTTCTGGTTCCTGCCATCACGGCCATGGCTACAGTTCAGCCCCAAGAACTGGCTGACGGGCACCCCCAGATCCCTCCCACCAGGGCCCTCCAAGGTCAAAGGACAGAGGCACAGGCATGTGGGTTTAGAGAAATGTCATTTAATGGTGCAGCTCAGCACTCCAGCACCAGGAATGGCATGGGGCCCAAGCAGCCAGGACGGAGCCTCACATGGCGAACAGGATGAGGAAGGCGACCATCAAACAGAAGAGCCCCATGGCCTCGGACAGCGCAAAGCCCAGAATGGCATAGGAGAAGAGCTGCTGCTTGAGAGACGGGTTCCTGCCAGAGACAAGAGATCCATGCCAGCCCCGGGTCAAGGAAGGGCTGAGGGCCCAGGGGACTGGGGTGACTGGGGTGTGCCCTGAATGGGAGAGGGCTGGAGCCTGGGACAGATGGGCACAATCACAGTTGGCCAAGGTCAAGTGAACCTGATTGGGCAAACTAGTTTAAATTTGGACTCAGAGAAACCAAGAGGTGCTTGAAACCAACCGGGAGTCTCCCTTCCGCCAAGGCTTCACCTAAACAGGGTGGGCCTCTCCAGACTTACCTGGCATAGCCAATGATCAAGCTGCCAAACACTGTGCCAATGCCGGCCCCTGAGCCAGCCACACCAACCGTGGCAGCCCCAGCGCCAATGAACTTGGCTGCCGTGTCAATGTCCCGAGCCACAACACTGGTCTGGAACTCCCGCCTGGCGACCTGCAGTGGGGAGCTGCTGTAGGGGGGCTTAGGAGGTAAGTCAAGGAAGGAGATGGTGAGCTTCCGGGACAGGTGGTTGACTCCTCGTTCCCACCCCACCCACCTGAACCCCGAGCCCACTGGCAAGCTGTCAAGGAGAGAAGGTGATGACAGCACAGATGGCCTGGAATTAGCTTCAGGGCCTGTTTTCAGACAAGGCTAGGGGAATGTTGGGAGCCAGGCAATCCTCACTTTTGCACCTACAATGTTCACCTCCATTCAAGCTACAAGAACCCTACAGGTTTCCTAATGCTCCTCCCACGTTCCTAAACCTGGGGAGATTGAGACAAGGGGCCCTATTTTCTTACCTGCTTAGGTAACTCCTCTGGCCTACTCAGAAAGGAGGCAGACGCAGGCCTGAATAGGCCCCTGGTACAACAGCGGACCTGTAAAATTGGAAAAACACATTCCTCCAAATAAGGCAAGAAAAGAAAATTGCAGAGTTTTTATCAAAAATGACCACAAGAGGGCCCAGCATGATAGCCTCGTGCTAAATCCTCGCTTTGCACATGTTGGGCTCATTGGCTAATTCTCCACCTGAAAGTGCAGGGATCCCATTTGGGGGCGGGTTCTAATCCCGGCTGCTACACTGCTGTTTGAGCTCCCTGTTTATGGCCTGGGGAAGCAGTTGGGGATAGCCCAAAGCCTCGGGCCCCTGCACCAGCATGGGAGACCCAGAAGTTTCTGGCTTCGGATCAGCTCAACTCTGGTCATTGTGGCCACCTGGGAAGTGAATCAGTGGACAGATCTTTCTCTCTGTAAATATGACTTTTCAATTGAGAAATAATTAATCTTTCAAAATCTACTTAAGGAGCCCAGTCTCTGGAACAACAATCCCCACTAATACCAAACCAGGTACAGGAAGGGTTTTTACCCAATCCCAAAGGCATGGTGGTGTGGTGGGGACCTTGCTGAAAGACATGGACCCTGAATGGAATGGGGAACTTCCTGTGGAACATGCTAGTTTAACATTAGAATTACCTTAGAAGTTCTAAAAAAAAAAAGAACACTAGATATGGGTCCATGTTCCACCCTCATTCCTGAGGTGTACTGGGACTTGGCATCAGGCTTTTTACATTAAAAGCCTTCCAGATGATTCTAACGTGCAGGCAAGAGTTCTGCTCAGAGGGTTCTCGGGCTGGGGGTTAAAGGTCAGGTAGACTTCCTGAGGACACCACAGACTCAAGGTGGATTGGTTTCCAGTCCAAAGAAGCAGGGGGTTCCCCGCGTCACACCTACAGCCCTCCCTGACCCACCCCCAAAGCCAAGGACATCCATCCCCACCTCCGTTTGGCCGCCCTGCATTCATTCATCCAAGCAGTCATGACGCCCACCACCCCGCACCGCCGCTTACCACGGCCGGAGACATGAGTAGGGACCTGCTGGCCTGCATCTTTTCAGTCTGCAAGGGCAAAAAAGCAAACAAACAAAAATGACAGCTGCACCCAGAGCCTGGCTGTCGGCTTCCAGGGGCGACCTTCGGTCGTCCCCTCCTCCCCGCTCTTCCTCCCTCCACCATCCTCTTTCTTGCACCGTGCCCCAGAGAAGACAGCATTAGAGGTCAGAGGGGCAGCGCGGGCTCCCGGGTGGACACCACCGCCTCCGTCTGCGCAGCTGGCCTGCGCAAGAACAAGCCGCCGAGACGGGAAGCAAAGCGAGGAAGGAGGCCCGAGTCCCGGGAGAGAAAAGTGGTGAAAGGGGCCGATCCCCCGGGGAGGACCGGAGGCGGGTCTTGGGCGGATGCTGCGGTTTCTTGCCCATCTTCCACGGCTTGTCCTCTACCCGCCCCGGACGGGGCAGTTAGTCTCATTACCGTTGGTCATTTAACACGCGTGGCTCAGGCTACAGCCTCCCTCGCTCCTCCCAGCCCTGCAGCAAATGTCCCCCGCGTCCGTCCATCCCCCAGGCCTGCCGATGGCCGCTCCCGGCCCCCGGTCACCTGCTCGCCCACGGCCCTGCAGCCCTGCTCGGCCCGCTGCGCTCGCCCGGCTCAAGGTGACTGACTCACCTCCCAGCTTTAGCCCTTGGCTCCGCGATCGGCAACCCTGCTCACGTGTCCCGGGGCCCGTCCACTCCCATTGGCCGGCGTCCTGGCGCGACCCCATTGGCCGGCGTCACCCATTTCTCCTTTCTTACTGGCTTTCCGCAGCTCCTTCCTCTCTCTCCACAGGAGCTTCGTGGCAATTCCCGCCTCCATGCGGGTAAAAGGCGGAGTTTCCCGTCGAGTGATGGGCTACGATTGGTCGATCCCTGAAATGCGGGGGAGAAAACCATAGAGTCGGCGGAACTCTGGGGTTCCATCATCTCCTGCACAAAATGGCGACCAAGGTACAAGTTGAAGGAAAAAAAGGCGTGGGAGAGATGGACGGGACGCCTGACGCACAAACACGTGACCCGGGCCCCTGGCCTCTCCATTCGGGCGCGTAGACCCTCCTCGGGGCGCGCTGCACGTCGGGATTTGTAGTCAGGTCGGAGTCCTCGAGGACAGCGGAGATCCCGCGAGACGTGGCTCCCCAGGCGGCGAGGGTGACGCCTTTGCGGTAGTTCCCATCCTGGTGATTGGTGAAGAAATCTGTGTCCGCCATGTAGAATCAAGGTTTCCCAAGTGACAAGGGCGGTCGTGCCGGTGTCCAGCAGGCACCCAGGCTAACTCCACGTCTTCTGAAGAAAGTAGACGTTCTCTGTAGTAAAACGAGCATCCTCAGGATGAAGGAATAGCCTGAAAGAGAAACGACAGCCAAGGACAGGGTCAGGCCATTCACCGAGGAGGAAATAAGAATTACGGGGAAGAACATATTCCACCTTTGATGACGAAGAGTGGAAGTTGAAGCCCCCTTCGCACTTGGCGCGAGAACAGGGTTCTAGCAGGCGGAGATTACTGCCACGCCAGGCAGTCTCCCTCGCTGCTGGGGAATTAGAAACCCTTCCTTGAAAGCAGTTTGGCAATGTTTATTTTTTTATTCAAAGACTTGGAATGGGCCATCCACTTTGACCCAGCAAGTCTTGAGTAATTGGGAGCCTGTACGGTCTCCAGTCCACTTTGACCCCGTAATTTCACTTCTAGGAATTTACTCTCAGTAGAGAACCAGATGCTGTTGTTGAAAGCAGGTGCATAGCAGAGTACATTGACACTGGAAACAAATGACAGCCGCACCGCTAGCAAATGGTTAAAGAAATTAACTGGGTCTTGATGAAATAAGTAGAAACAGCATATAAAGTCATGTGTTTAAAAACTTTAAAAAAAAAAAAAGGTCTTATTTATTTGGGCAGACAAGTCTTCTACCTGCTGGTTCATTCCTCAGCTGGCCCCGGGGGGCCAGGCTAAAGCCAGGAGCTTCATCCAGGTTTCCCACGTGGGTGGCAGAGGCTCAAACACCTAGGCCGTCCTCCACTGCTTTCCCCAGGGTATTAGCAAGGAAGTGGATTGAAAGTAGAGCAACTGGAACACAAACCAGCCCACATAGGGGGCTGACGTCATAGACGCCAGCTTTATCGGCGACCTAGCATGACCAGGCCCACATTTGAGGACTTTTGTGTTACAATAGTGTTATGCTGTAAGACATGAAAACGGCAAAAACTTACCTAAGGCATTGTGAAAAATATATATGGAAAAAGAAGAAAAAAATATGAATAGTTGGGCCTGGCATAGTATCCTAGTGGCTAAGGTCCTTACCTTGCACGTGCTGGGAGTCCATATGGGCACCAGTTTGTGTCCCAGCAGCCCTGCTTCCCATTCAGCTTTCTGCTTGTGACCTGGGAAAGCAGTCTGCCCAATGCTTTGGGACCCTGTACCCACGTGGGAGACTCAGAAGAGGCTTCAGGCTCCCAGCTTTGGATTGGCTCAGTTCCAGCCATTGTGGCTGATAGGGGACTGAATCAAGATATATCTTTCTCTTTGTCTTTTCTCCTCTCTGTATATCTGACTTTCCAATAAAAATAATATAAAACAGTATTAATAGTTAATTTTAGGTGATGTAAGGTTGGCTCATTTTATGAGTATGTATTAAATGCATTGCAGATCCCGGATCTCCACCAAGGGATATCAGTATGGGCGCCAAGGACCACATCCCAACTGCCAAAGAGACCACGGGGGACTGGAATGCCTTCGGAGGTCAAGAACTCAGAGGACACCCCCCCCCCCTTTGGACCTACCCCACGGGATGGAAGAAGCTGAATCCTTCATCATAGGATCCAAGGCCATTGGAACAACAACCAGGAAACCTGAGCGGTCTTCAGAAACAGAAGAACAGTAAACTCCCTTCAGGACTAGGGAGAGGAGCTATCTCTGGTTCTTACTTAGCTCCAACTTCGGGTCCCCACCCTCTCTGCAATGACCATGAGGGACGCTCCAGAGCCCCCTCCCCAACACACACACACACACATACACACACACTCACTCACAAATTGGAATGGATAGGCAGAGAACAACAAGGAAGGCTTGGTCAGCATGGACTGATTCACACACACCTTACTAGGTAGGACACCAAGATTAAGTACTCCTCACCAAGGTATGGAAGATTTCTCTGCACACCCCTCCTAAAACTGTTTCACACCTCAGTTGTTGAAATGTCATTGAAATAGTCACAGGAAGTTGTTAAGACCATGCATCCAAGTTTGACAAATTGGTTGCTCAATACTTTGTCAATTTATCCCTTAACGTTACATATTGTTGCTGATGTTACGTCAGGGCTTTTAATTGACTGGGATTCTACTCTGTTGGCTCTGCCTTCGGACCGGGGCGGGTCTCCCCAAGAAGCCACCGAACTTGAACGGACAATGAGATGCTAGACTCTATGCTTGGTGTATGCTTGCAATGAAGGAATCTCAACTAAACCTGAACTGTGGTTGCACAAGGGGGAGGGGGGAGCCCACCATGGGGGGGAGGGGTGGAAGAGGGGTGGGAGGCATCCCAGTGCCTATATAGAACTGTGTCACATAATATAATGTAATTAAAAATATATATAATAATAAAAAAAATGCATTACAGAAACAATTATTAAGGGTCCAGCGCGGTAGCCTAGTGGCTAAAGTCCTTGCCTCGCATGCACCAGGACTTCATATGGGCACCGGTTTGTATCCTGGTGACCCCAGTTTCCATCCAGCTCCCTGCTTGTAGCCTGGGAAGGCAGTCAAGGACGGCCCAAAGCCTTAGGACCCTACACCCATGTAGGAGACCCGGAAGAAGTTCCTGGTTCCCAGCATCGGATTGGCACAGCACTGTCCGTTGCAGTCACTTGGGGAGTGAATCACCGGATGGAAGATCTTCCTCTCTGTCTCTCCTCTCTGTACATCTGACTTTCCAATAAAAATAAATAAATCTAAAAAAAAAAAAAAAAAAAAACACCTTGGAGGACAAGGAGGAGGGGACCGTTTTGAGGATACCTGAGGGCATGTGCTCCAGGCAGAAAGGACTGCTGTGCGCAGGGTAACACATGGTTTGGTTTGAATGGACAGGAAGGAGCAAGAGGGATGGGCCCTTGGAAGTAGAATCAGAGAGATTGTGGCAGGGCAATGGGCGTGGGGGAGGAGACTGTGTACAGAGTTAGGCTTTTACTCTGAAACAGCAGAGGACGGCCCAAATCCTTGGGACCCTGACCCACGTGGGAGACCCGGAGGAAGCTCCTGGCTCCTGGCTTCAGATTGGCTCAGCTCTGACTGTTGCAGCCTCTTGGGAACTGAACAGCAGATGGATTTTTCTCTCTGTGTCTCCTCCTTATAAATCTGCCTTTCCAATAAAAGTAAATAAATCTTTAATATATATAATTACACATAAAATATAACATAGACACATAATTTTATAATGTATAAAATTATATAATACATATGATTTTATAACATGTAAAATTACATAATATATACACATACATAAAATATATACACAAATACATAAGTATTTGTGAGTCACCAAGTTAATATTGTGGGCCTGGATGAGATTATCAAACAGTATCACAAAGCACAGCCAAACTGTGAAAAGTCAGACACGGACATTCATGAAGGTGAGTGACGACCTGGAGGAGTCCCAGCCAGAGGAACAGCTGGTTTCCCATGGAGATTGTGGAGTCCAGGAGGCAGTAAGATGATACATTCCAAGTGCTGAGAGCCTTACCGTCAGCCAAGAACCCTTTACCCAGTCAAAGTCTCTTTCAAAAAAAAACCCCATTGGTTGAGGGCCCATAACAGATATATATATATTATTTTGGGGTGGGGGGAAGAGATTTGTTTAATTTAGAGTTAGAGAATGAGAGGGGAAAGATAGAGATTGAGCTCTTCCACCTGCTGAGTATTACCCAAATGCTTAGCCATGGTTGTAGCGGGGCCAGGCTGAAGCTAGAAGTAAGGAGCCTCTTCTGGATCTTCCACGTGGGTGGAGAGGCCCAAGAATCTAGGCCATCTTCCCTGGCTTTCCCTGATGCCTTAGCAAAGAGGTAAATCAGAAATGGAGCAACCAGGTTGAGCAGACAGCCACATGGAATGGCAGCATTGCAGTGGTGGCTTAACCCGTTCTGCCACAATGCCAACCCACAAGATTTTTTTTTTTAAGATTTGTTTATTTTTATTGGAAAAGCAGTTATACGGAGAGGAGGAGAGACAGAGAGGATGGTTTGATGGTTCGTGCCACAAGTGGCCGCAATGGCTGGAGCTGAACCAATCTGAACCCAGGAACCGGGAGCCCCCTCCAGGTCTCCCATGTGGGTGCAGGGTCCCAAGGCCTGCGTTTAATGCAGAAAAACAATTTCACATTCGTCCAGCAGATGGGGCTCAAGGGGAGAGACTCTCAAGAGGACTCCAGGGTTTTTGAACAAAGCTGGCTTTTTTTTTCCTCCCCAAGATTTATTTATATGACATGCAGAACAAGAGCGAGAGATTGATCTTTCATCTGCTGATTCACTCCTCAGATGGCCACAACGACCTAGGCTGAGTCAGGTCAAAGCTAGGTGTCAGAAACTCGTCCTGGCCTCCCACCTGGATGGCAGGGCTATACCTGGGCCATCTTTTGTTTCCCATACATATTAGCAGCAAGGCTGGGTCAGAAGCAGAGAGGCCAGTGTCTGAAACATCCCTGCCCTATGGGGGTGCCAGCTTAACATGCAGCTCCGCAGCTCAGGCCTCAGTAGGGTTGGCTTTTCTTATACTCTGGGTGTTGGGATGCAGCCGGTCAAGCCAGCAATTGAGATGCCCACATTCTGTACAGAGTGTCTGCTGCTGCACTTCCCGCCCAGTTTTCAGTTCCTGCTCCTGGGAAAGCAGCCAGAGAGCTTGGGAAATGGCCCCAGTGCTTGGATCCCTGCCCACCCCCGAGGAGACCTGGATGGAGCTCCTGGCTCCTGGCTCCCAGCTC